TGAACCTTTTGTTTTAGTTTCAAATATTCGTTCCCTCATACACACACATACACACAAATCATAACTGCTATCAACAACTTTTGCTTTCGTTGTGGTTGCGCTCAACGTGCTAATTGGCACGGAAATTATATTAAAGCCGGTTTAGAAAAAAACCAAACAACCAGTTTTGGGTATTAGTTGAATTAAAAGTCAAATATTTGACTTTTATGTGGGATTTGTTGTGAAGTTTTTCAAGCCTCCCTCAAGGGAGGCAGGGTATTAAAGGCATGTCAGCTATGGAGAGCAAATACTTAATAGAACCCCTCCCAACTTTAGATGACACAAAAATAAAACAGATAGAGGTAGACAAGAAATTAAAGTGAGCGAGGGAGAATCCGCTATGCTCGTTTAGGAGCTATACTTGTGGCTGTGAGTAAACGAGAAAAGCAATAAAAACAGAGAGAGACAGATAGAGATAGAGACATCAAAGCTTAGTAGGTGAGAAAGAGATATAATTACGAAAGACAGAAACAAAAACATATCAGCTAAGCCAGAGACAGCTCTCTACACAATTATAAAATCTTACAATGCGATATAAGCTTATGAAAATCGCATAGAAGGGCAACAGATTGCTAAACTCTAAAGTCTAGATACCACTTTGACATTATGAGAATCGGATAGAAGGGTAAAAACATTCCTGAAATTTCTTGTCTGCCCTGAAATAAGATATCTAATTCTGAATGGTAAATCTCTTAACAATAAGCATATTGTACGAAACACCTAAATTAAAATCTGGACACTGTTTGAGGTCAGGAGAATGCGAAAGGTAATACACAAGTCTGAATTTTCTAGTATACCCTGCAATAAGATATCTATGTTTGTCAGGACTATCATCTACATTTTTGCCCTTTTGACTTAGCTGCATAAATTGCAACGGTTGCTACTTGGAGCCATAGTTATCTATTGGTATCTGCAACTATGTCCATGTAGCAGTAGTTACGGCAACAGCAACAACTACAAATACAAAGACAACGACAACAACTCACTTGCAAGAGCGCTATCACCAGCTGTATGGGTCCACAGCGTACGACAACGGTGCCAATGGTGGTGGCACGCAGGGAGGAGGACGTCGCCTGGCTTGGCGTTGGCGACGATGATGACATTGTTGCTGAATAATTGAAGGCGTCTAGCTGGGATTGTGACTGAGAGTGTGACTGGGGCTGCAGTTGCTGGCGATTCGAGGAGCTGGCCGAGTACAGTGAAGACATCGATGAGTCTAACGTTTGGCGACGTTCCATGTTGTGGCTGTGAACTGTGTGTTGAGTGTTGTTGTTGAGTGTTGTTGTTGTTGACTGGTTGTCTTCGGGTGGTTATTGTTGTTGTTGTTGTTATTGTCGGCTTAGCGGCTACGTGTTGTTTTGTGTGTTTTGCGTGGGCGTTTTTAATCTTTGCCGTTTAGTTTTCTTTTGTTTTGTATTTGATTTTACACAATTTCTTTTCTTTTTCACGCGCGCGTCTTTCGCTAAGTTGTTTGTGGTGTTGTTTTTACTTGGGCTCTAGTAGAAAAATAATGCAGTCGACGTGTTAGACGTTTATGCTTAACTTAAGTTATTTGGCTATGTTTGGTTATGTTTGGCTTAGTTCGTTGTTCGTTTTTCGCGATTTTCCTCGATTTTCCCTGATTTTCGTTTGTCGCGCACACTATCAATGCTGGCGATCGTCTGACGGCCCCATCACACAGAATAAGCTCTGAGCGAGTAGGAAAAAAAAATCAGCACGAAGAACTATGGCAAATAAATCGACTATGACTTCATGCCTCGCGCTGCCTGTTTATTATTGTACGCTAAGCACAACAATGTCTATATATATATATATATGTATATGTATATACATTTAGCTACCTATACTAATGTGTGTGCATTTGTTGCTGTATTTCGCATATGCGCCTGAGAAACTTTTTGCCTTTGATGCGTGCGCTGCGCCGATCTTCGCTCAGCTCTATGACAATGCTCAATTTGCGCTATTTTTGAATTTTAAATCAAACTAAAGCAAAAAACTACACGTATATTGAATAATTCTTGGGTGCTGCGACTGCGACTGCGACTGCGGCTCCGTCTGTTTGAATAGCCCACATTTGGCGGATGTGCGTCAGGCTAATCATTGTCCGTTGTCTCGTTGTTGTATCTTCAATATACTAAGATACTCTCTCGCGCACACATGTGCCAAATTGTTGCAATGTCTGAAAATGTTAACCTTTCGGCTGTTCTATGCGCTCGTCTGTTCAATCGATTGCAACTGCTTTTTGGCTGCCAGAAATTATGGCAGCTTTCATTTATTTTTGAATTATTACGCATACGCAATGTGAGCAGCCCCTTTCCGCCCATTATTTTGTGTGTGCGCCCGGCTGTGGCATTAGGTAATTTGTATTTTTCTAGTTTTTTATAGCCAAAACATTTGAGGCGATTTTCGTATGAAGCAATGTAAATGATTTTAATTGTACTTTTCTGGCCCGTGTCTAAAAATAAACAGGCACTATAATAATGAACGCAGCACATGCCTGGAAATGGGGCGTGGCAGTCACAATTTGGCTGCCTGCCTGCCTGCCTGTCGCTAGCCACCCCGACAATTGTCAATTTTAACTGACAGCCCCAAACAAGTCAACGAAATGATATTTATTTATCATGTCTTTTTGCAATGCGCTTGTCACATCGTCTGCGAGGCCCGTCGACGACCAGCAACAATAACAAAATTAGAACACAATTTGTGCCTCAATAACATATTATACTATGTTTGTGTGTTTATTTTGTTGTGTTTTTATTAATTATAATTTATGTAGCATTCAATGTCATTAGCTGCTAATTTATTGTGCCTTTCGCTGGCGTCACAAATTCACATTTACATTTCTATGCCAAATTTGCATTCTTCGAAAAACTATATTCGCACATTTTTATTTTCAAATACAAAAACCCGGAGCGATGAGCAAAATATGGGAATAAAACGCGCGCGCCGCGTGCCCAACAACCGAACGACGCGAACTTCGAACAAGACTGAGGAACTGAACCAGACGAAGGCAGCTGCCAGATCGCTCGGCCTGCTGCTGCTGCTGCTGAGATCGGAGCGCGAGTGTAGCAACCTGGGGGCACCCGGCACTTAACCGATTCGCTCAGCTTTTGCGGCAGGCATGGATGGCGCTCGCTATGCTCTCTGTTGAGCTCAGTTTGGGTAGCCGGCTGAGCTGGGCTGTGCGAGATCGAGAGAGGGGCGGCGAGAGTGGGAGGCGGTGACGACATAAATAAACAAGTGCTCTTGGCATTCGTTGCGTCGTTAATTCATGATTTCAATTTTTAATGCCCTGCGCCGGCAACAACCACAACAACAACAACAACAACAACTACAACTGCAACAATGTGCTCAAGTATAGCTTGTACTTTAATAACAGACACAGCGAAGAGGGAACAACAACAGCAACAGAAACTGCTGCAACAACCTGACTGCAGCGTGTCTTAATAGAATGCAACAGGCGGCCGCCCGCATTCACAGCTGCTCCCCCCGCTCAGCTCCGCATCATAGTTTTACGCTACTTGAGCGTCCAAAATGCGTGTGGCAGGCGATGCTCGAGTGCTGACCGGGAGGGTTTAGGGTGATTGCGACGGGGGACAGCGGCCGGGGGTTAGCTCAGTTCGTGCCGCAGTGGCCAACGACTGGCTTCCAATCAACGTATTCTGTTATTATTTTGCAGCCTATCAACGGCACCAAATTTATTGAATTATATTTTCAGCGCCGCTTTTGTGTCTTGGCCAGCTTTTTGCAGCCGTCACGAGCAGCAAGCAAAAAAAAAACTGGCGGCAATTTGATTTGATTGCTACATGGCGCTTGCTTATGGATGGGGGGAGAAAGAGTTTTGCTACAGCTTGTAAGAACTTTCATCTAAAACTCTCATGCACACATGTGCACAGTGCGCTGAGAGCTGCCCTCGCACATATTTTATTTATAACGCTTTTTATTGAGATTAATGTGACATTTGAGTGGCTGGAGTGTGTGCTTGTGTGTGTGTGTGTGTGTGTATGTCTGTATGTGTGTGTCAACACCCTTCTGACAGCGCACATATTATATAATTAAAATCACTTAAAAAGCGTTTGTTCACATTTATGAACCACCCAGGTCGAAACAATTAACGTTTAGGCATTTGTTTTGGGTGGCAAATTAACCTCGCGACTGCACAGGGGTTAAGCGGCAGCTTTTCCAACTGTGCCTAAAATCATGCAACACTTTCGAGCAGGCAATAAATAATTGCATGTAAAAAAAAGAAGAAAAAAAAAACATTTTCGACTACATTTTACGCATCGATTTTAGTTTTCGTGACTTATTTGCGATTCAAAAATGTATAAAAAATGCATTTATGTAAATTAGAAATAAATAAATAATATTTTTGTTGGCTCAAATAGTGTCTGCTAAAAATATGAACTATTTTTAATTATTTTGCAATAAAATCAAAAGCAATAAATTAATTGCTAATTGCTAAGAGTTTAAATTATTTTGGAATTCTCTAATTATCGCAAGCAAACAGACTAATTAATTAAACTAGATTAATAATTTAAATAAATACTAAAACATGCGCTGCTCTTGAAAAATAATAATAATAATTAAAGGAAAAACAAAACAAATGCTGAAAGAATTTGTTTAGCTCATGGGCTAAAATAGCTAAAAGAGAAAGAAAACTTAAATAAATTAGAAATAAAATCAAACAAAAATGCCAGCAAATTCATTTTGGCAAGAAAAACGTTTGAAAAATAAAAACAACAACAAACAAGAACAAAGCAGCAAAGCAAATGGCGCATCTTAATTAGGCGGGTTATATATTGGATGTCGGGGCGAGGGCAAATCTCTCAGAGAAAACCCTTGATCGTTTGTTTCGTTATATTCTCATAGTATTTGCTGCGGCGCCACGACGCTGGCGACGTCTGCTCGGCGCTTTCCGTGCCAGCAGAGCAGGCAGCAGCTGTTGCTGCCTGGGCACTCACCTCCGGCGTGACGGCCGTGGAGCTGCTGGGCATCAGCTCCGTGCTGATGTGAGCTGCGTCCAGGCCGTAGCCCTCTAATTCACTGTCCGATTCGATGGGCTGTGCCAGCAGCTGCTGTTGTTCTTGTTGTTGCTGTTGCTGTTCGTCGTCGGGCGTGGGCGTCACACTTTGGCTATGCAGCTCTGCCACGCCCACCACACTGTCCTGATCATCGCATTTTGGTGGGTGCCGCGCAGAGAAGTAGCTCAGCTCGGAGCTCTCAAAGGACATGTTCACTGGCGACTGTGGCAGCTCGGGTATTTCAAAGTTGCTCAGCGTGGAATCATCCGCCTCGTCAAAGGAGTTCTTGGCAGAGCCAATGTACGAGCTGGTGCGACCCGAGGCCGTTTGAAAGGAGGACGAATGCGAATTGGGCGTAAAATTGCCCTCGGAGGCCGTGGCAAAGGATTCATCTTCCGTTGAACGCGATTGCCAGTCCTGCATGAATCAAATGAGACCAAATGAAAGACCCAACCGCAAGCAAAAGCAACCGGCCGTGACCTACCTCGTTGCCCATGCCATTGCTGCCGAGCTTTTTGTGCGTCGCACTGGACAGATCCAGCTCACCATCGCTGCAGTCTCGTATAACCGCATCCAGGGACTCGGCCACCTCGGCGATGGCGCCCAGCTTGTGCGAAATGGCGGCGCAGGCCAGCTCATTGCTGCCCGTTGGCGTCACAGTTAACGTGGCAGATGATTCCGCATGGATGGACTCGCTGCCGGCGCTGCTGTTGCGTCCGCTGTCGTGCATGGGGCTCGGACTGCAGTCCAGCGGCAGCTCATCCGGCACAACGCTGTAATCACATGAAAATAAATTGCTTTTAGTCTGTTGCTGCGTGGCATCTGCTGTCGAATCCAGTGAGGCGCTGCGTGTGTGCGAGGGCGTGGCATCTTCGTTGTCCGTATAGTCGCTTTGCGGATATGTTTCGCTGTCATTGCGTATGAGCGCCTTAATCTTGTCCAGGCTTTGCAGGCGTGGCGCTTCGTCTCTTGCTTCTTCTTCTAATTCTTCTTCTTCTTCGGCAGGCTCTAGTATAATATCACGCTCAATGGAAGCCTTGGCTATTTTGGTTTTTGAACTGGAAGTGCTCGCCGTCTCATCATCGTCCTCCTCATCTTCCTCCTCAATATTTGCCTCCTCCTGCTCCGTATCATCGCTGCTCAAATCTGGCAGTTCGCTGCTCTGGTTAATGGCATCCAGCAGCTGGGACAGCTCTTGCGTGGAGGCGCTTAGCGTCTCCTCATGCCCATTGATCAAATCCTCCTCCTCGCTGGCCAGCGGCGCATTGTTTTGTTTGCTCGCAGGCAGCGGCTCCTCATTGGGAGCCTCGTCTACGACAATGATGGGCACTTCATCGGCTTTTGATTTTCCAAACAAATTACGAAATCGGGCAAACATTTTCCTGCCTTAGATCGCCAAGTCTCTTGACGCAACAGCTGAACACGCGTTTGGCTCCGGGCCAGTCGGACAAATGTCAATTGCGGGAAGTACTCAATTATTGAGGATTACTCACACAGCGCAAAAGGGATGCGGCGAGAAAGGGACAACAATTAGACGGACACTTCTATATAAATTATACACTAAAATCAGAGTTCCACTCTGACCCACTTGTTGGCACACGTTTTCTTTTTTCCAGTCGGGTTATATCGGTATCTATATATACTCTGCGTAAAGATTGCCGTCCGTTTCAATTCACTTGACAGCTTGACAAGTTGCCGCACTATATATATATGTATAAATTCCGTGTATTTATGTATATATTCCCGACGACTACGCTTCCCGTCGAGCATCAGACGCTCCGTGCTGGATCACGCACCGAAATAGACTGTCTTAGCCGAAAAATTCTGAATAGTTGGCGGCATATTTCGAGCTGAGTGCTCGCTGTGCGGTCATTTGTTTTAGTTAGTTTTGTCAGCTTTTATTTTGGTTTTATCTAAGAAAACTTGGTCAGAATTTTGAGTGGATTTTGAGTCGTTTTCTCGGGTTGTCTCCGGTCCGCTCACACGCTGCCGCCTCAACTGGAAATTGGTTAGAATTCGCACTCACCTCTTGCCCGTGAGCGCGTCCAGCACAAAGGGCTCCTTCAGACGCTTCTTGAGCAGCCGACCCAGCCGCACCATGCGACCCACCTCAACCAGCAGCTGCTCCCGAGCCAGCAGGTGACGCTGCAGACGTGCGCCAACTCCGCCACCGGCCGGCGAGAGCTCTGGCGAGGCTTCCGCATCGCTGCTGATGCCGCTGCTGCTGCGATTGTGCTGCTGGCGCTGCTGCTGCAGCTGGGTGGCCAGCTCGTGGGTGAGCAGCGGTCGCAGGTCGCGCAGCTGCCTGTAGTAGGCCTCCACGCTGCGATGGAAGACGGCGGAGACGCGCAGCCGGGTCATCTGCTCCTGGGCAATGGACTGCAGACTGTGCCAGGTGCGCTGCAGTCGCAGCTGAAATTGCTCCGGCTCCGTTTGCTCCAGCTTGCAGCAGAGACGCAGCGTCTGCGCGGCCTCCAGCAGCTGACAGCCATAGTTGAAAATGCTCTGCGAAGGAAGGGAGAAAAGTGGTGATAAAAAGTGGTAAAGTGCACCCAAACTGGCTGAATACAAAATGCAGATCTCTCTCTCGTGCCAACTCTCTCTCTCTCAGTCTGTGTCTCTGTCTTGGCTTAAAACTCACCCGTCCGGTTTCCTCAAACCCCTGCAACTCGTCCTTCTGCAGCTGGATCTCGTGTATGTTGCAGCCAACATGGGAGTGACAGCGCAACAGCACCGCATATAGCTCGTTCAGCCACTGGAGTGCACGGCGCACCTCCTGCTCGTAGCCGTGAATGTGGGTCACCTGCTCCAAGGTGAGCCGCTGCAGCGCCAACCGCTGTCCGCACAGCTGCCGGCGCTCGCAGCTCGCGTCAATCTGTCGACGCAGCTGGGCAATGTCGTTGCTATAGTCCAGCTGGAGGTCACGGCCCAAAGCATCTTTCACCGGCATGGCCAACATGTCGCTCAGCTTCTCGCCCTCGCGCACAAGTTCGCGTTCGATGTTGCCTACAAAATGTGAGCAAAGGTTTGAGCCAGTTGCAACTGATTGTTGTGGGAACAACAACAAAAAGCACCTGAAACTGATTTGGTCTGGGTAGGGTTCAGTTTTTTGATAAGATTGGTAAGCAAAGGTAAAAGGAAGAGCTAGTTATGGTAGAAGTCTGAATACCCTTACATACTTTAACAGGCGAGTTAAGCAAATAGCTTTTTGTTAGAGAGAGTTAAGAACTTAAGCCAAATCAAGCAATCGGTAAAAAGCTTTGATAATCGAGCTTTAAATTGTGTTTAGGAGTTAACCTATTCCTTTCACAGAATCTATATACTGATTAAATATATTTTATACGTTAGTTAAGATAACAAAGCTGCACATAACTTGTAATATACTCCCAGAATGAATTGAAATATTTTTCGGATGCTATCTAGTACGTTATCTAACTAGGCTATGCGATTGGTATGCATATGTAGAAATCTCGTAACTTGGCTGCGTCTTATCAAATTAATGAACTATTTAGGCAACCAAGATTGTTAAAAAGAAATTTGTGTAAGGGCATAGCCTCAATTGAAAATTCTGTATAAGTTACAATCTATTGTGTGGATACATTATTTTGAACCAACATATGCATATAACTTTTCCAAAAATCTGTTGCTTGGCAAAGATCAGAAGAGATTAAACAATTCCGGCGAGCAAAAAAACAATCAATTTAAAAAAAATTAAATAAATTAAAATTTTGTATGAAATTAAGCTGTAGGAATCACAACTTGTGGAGGACTTGTAATATTGAAGGAGTGTATAATTTATTGTTGGATCAGTTTCAGCAGCCAGGCAAACTTGTCTCTCAGTTTAATCATATGAATTGGCAAATATCGTACAAAGCACTAAAAAGCTATATATCTACAGAGGCATTCAAGCTACAGCGTGCTGATAAAACCCCCACTTTCCTGTTAGGTTGTAAATAATTGTCCGATCAGTTGCTATTCGGCCAGTATAAGTACATGTATTTAAGCTGCCTGTTTGAATATCAGTAGCAGACACTTATTTCCAACCAGACTTTCACTTGAGATCTATGGCCATTAAATAGTTACGTCTGGGGAGTCAGCTTCATGGATCTGTCAGTTGGCTCAAGACTTACCCAGCAGCTGTTGGCTGGTCTTTAGCTGCGATAGCATTGCTTCGGCCTGTTGCCAGTCCAATTCGCTGGGCTCCGCATCGGCTGCTTGGTTGGCTATCAGCAGCTGCTCCTCGAACTGTTCGAGCAGGCGATGGAAGCGCAGCGCCGTCATGAGCACCTTGCGCCGGCGTTCCAGGCGCTCGGCAAACGAGCGGCACACGAACTGCATAAAGTCGCGCTGGGAGAGCAGATCCTGGCATGTGGCAATGGGGCGCTCCTTGGCGAACTGTTCGATCTTGTAGAGCAGCTCCGCATAGCAGCCGTAGGTGTCGCGGCATTCCAGCTCTAGTTGATCGTGTGCCGTTCGCAGGGTTTCGGAGGCGCGCACATCGCTGCCAACGCTGCGCTGACGGCTGAGCAGCTGCTCGGCCTGGTTGAGAATCCAGTTGGTGACAAAGGCCACGCCCTCGGCCAGAGTGCAGAGCTCGCGTGCCTCACGCAGCGCGCGCAACAGCTCCAGCCAAGCGGTGCGTATTGCCGTCTGCTTCTTCTCGATCTCATTGAGGCGCAGCTCGATGCGGGCACGTTCGCACCCAAGATCGGGCGGCAGCAGCGGCTTAGCTGGGCACAGGGCGTTGGCTGTTGTTGTTGTTGTTGTTGCCGTCGTTGTTGTTGCTGTTGCCGGTGTGGCAACAGGTGCGGCATGCGGCGTTGTCGTTTGCGTCTCGTAAACCTCGTTAAAGCGCGCCAAGATCGCATTACCTGCACGTTGCGCAGCAAAAGAGAAATGAGGAAAAGGGTTTAATTTCAATTCAAAGCTGTTTATTAGCCCTGCGTTTGCTTAGTTAACACAACATTTCGACTGCGTTTCTATTTGCCTATGCCTTATGTAAAAAGTGAAAAGCTGCGCTCAATCTTGTGCCAGTTTCGTTGCGCATCAACGCAGATATAAAGAAAAAGTTATATATATATAGCTGGCTAAGTGAAGGGTCACGATGTAAATAGAGTCACCCACACGCGCCACAGACAAACATACAACAACATGCGCTTCAAGTGTGCGGTTTTTGTGGTATTCTCAATTTGTCGAAAAGACACTTAAAAGACACAGCACAACAAAGCTCACAGAGCTCATAAACGCTTCATTTTAGGGTTCAGCCAGGTGTGAAATAGAGCGCATCAGAAATGTCTGATCTTCAGTTAAGAGAACTAAAATGGGCTTATTTTATGATAATTTTTCGTTTTTTACATATTTTTGTAGATATTACAAAAGTGAGAGACAAAATGCGCTTAAAATTAACGAAAACAATAGAAAAATATTCAACACAATTTATCTGGATTTTCGGAGTTGTCAGATTTTAAAGAGGGTACAAAAATCTTCAGCAATGGGAACTAAGGAATGATTAAATTAAATAATTTTATAAGAATTATAATCATGGCATTTCTGAAGTTTACAGTTCCCCTACTCTTTCAGATTTAAAAGAAAGGTTTTTTTCATCTTAAGCAATGCATTTAACATAAAATATTTTACATCAAAGTACATCCATAAAAAACCAGCTGAGCTTTCGATATCGCACACTTTTTCAAGATCACATAACTAATTTCAATGTTATTCAGTGTAATAAAAAGTCAACCCACAACGCAAAAAACGAGTTAGCCAAACATTTTTCATTTCTAATTGAAACACGCACAAGGCTCATGTTTTTTTTTCTGGTCGTACTCGTTGTTGTTGTTTTGGTGGATTACTTGTCACATTTGCTGTCTGGCAACTCGTTTCGATTGTCGTCGGCGGCGTAGGGCATTGAAATTATGTAAATTGCTTCGCGCACCACGCACCACGCAAAACGAAAGACTCAGGCAACGAACTTGCAGCAGCTTAAAACTATCCGCTTACCCATTTCAATCGCCGTCTCAATGCTGCGCTGCACGTGTGTATGCAACCTGGCGCACTTCTTCAGCTCGACATCCGCTTCCGCTGGCCGCAGCGACTTGAGCAGCGTCAGCAGCTGCTCCATGCCGCCCAAGGTTTGCGCGTGGGTTTTACTGAACTCGTCAATGGACTGCAATTCAAAAAAAAAAGGGTATTGCTTAGTTGTCATTGAAATGAAATTGTTCTGGCGCTTACCTTGCGCTGCTGCAGCCACAGATCATAATTGAATTGCAGCGTGCCGCCCAGCTCCTCGGGCAGATTGTGTGGCTCTATGAACTTGGCCAGGCGCGCCTTCGACAACACCAAGGGCTAGAGGGATGGGGACACAGACACGGATTAGCTGCTGCCGGCTGCATTTACATGTGCAGTTGACATGGCTTACCTCGCCTTTGGTCTGGGACTTGGCACATGGCTCCACGTGCTTCTCCCAGAAGCCCTCCGCTCTGACTAGATACACATCGACGCTGATGTCGCCGCCAAAGAGCGCATAAATTTGCCGCACGTGCTGCCTGGATATGCGCGAGCTGCTCTCCTGGGCGTTGACAATGATGCTCACCCCATTTTGCAATATCGACGCGCTGCGGCAAGACGGGCGAGAAAGAGGTTAGAAACGCTTCATTAGGCGGCCCATACAAATCTCGTTTAGCTGCTGATTAGCCACTTGAGTGGAGGACTGGAATTGTGTCTGGGCCAGTTGATTGATCGCATAAATATGCTTGGCCGTAAATTATTTTATTTCTTCTTTTTATTGTGGCTCATAAGCCAAACAAGAATATTGCGTGCCTAAAACTATTAGAGAAAGAAATGACAAGAGCCCATAAGTCTTGAGCTTAGATGCAAATTAAGATATAGTAGGGTGATCTATCTATGACATTTCCACAGCTCAAACCCTTCCATCGCTCAACTCAGCCTGCGGCACGATTTCAAAAGCTGTCTTTAAAAACTAAAAAGTTCATATAATAGAATTAGCATATCAGAGCGACGTTTCTTGCGGCCTAGCCCAGCGTCATGTCTAATGAAAAGAATCAAATATAAAGCCTAAATCATCTGCGGGTTATTTGCATATTTCGCTTATGCTAATTAGCTCGATTAGCGGCCTGTTTCTAGTTCTTCCTAACAGCTTTTTTCCACCTGCTCTCCGAGACTCACCTGAGCGAACGCTTGAGATAGTCGAGCGTCAGTTGCAGGCAGCGGCGATTCCACAATTGTTGATCATTGAATGCATTCACAATGAATATGATTCGCTTGTCCCGATCGTAGCCGCCGGACAGATAGGCGCTGCGCATCTGCAGCGCGTTCAAGACGTCCTCCTCCATGAGTTAACCGTAAAGAACTCTTTTTTAATTGTCAGGGCTTTCAACTTTGAGAAGCGTCATTTCTATTAACGGACCGGGTTCCAAATAATAATAATAAAATTAAAAAAAATAAAACAGTTAAGTTAAAAGTGTTTGTAAGGGGCAAAAACTTGTACATATGACTATTTGTTTTTTCCATTGGGGCGGCCTTTTGTTGTTGTTGAAAATTAATACAAGTCACAGTTAGTGCTGTTGTTTTGTTGCAGCAACTGTTGCTGCCGCTGCTGCACAATGCATTTCCAATGCCGCTGCGGAACACGTTTGACAAGTCGCAGACTGAAGACCGAAGTCTGAAAGACTGGAACTGCACAATACACACACATGATTTTCACTATTTTCATGTTAGTTTAAGAGCTTGGCTGCCTGGCTGCCAGTTTTGCCTGCTAGCTATTTTTCTTTTCCTTTTTTTTTTTGCTGCTAATGGAAAATACCAATTTTGTGCATAGTTTGCTTATACCCTGTACTTTTTAAAATCGCTGAAGCAGCATATAGCAGAGAAATGAAACTTTGAATTTAAAGAGAAGGCCTTGCTTAAGTTTAAGTTTATTTGATTCACTTGACAAATAATTCTGCTTAATCTTTTGCATAAAATCTATGTACAGGGTATTTTCAGTGCGAGCACTCTCATCTAACGTAATGGCATTTGTTTTTTTTTGGCTTTTCGAAAATTACTTGACACAAATTGAAGTCAACGGGGAGGCTGCCAAACTTTTTCTATGCCAGGCCAACGGCAGCTGCAGTTTTGGCTTAATTTGTTGCTCACTGCGCTGACTGATAAGAGGCGTGGCAGCACTTACACACACACACACACACACATATACACACACTAACACACGTACACACGCTGCATATCTTTCACTTGCGCAGAAATCCTGTTTCTGCTGGCAAGTTTGTTGTCTATCTTACAGTTATGCGTAAAGTAAGTCTAAAACTTGCTCCGTTTTATGGCCAAGAATTTTCAATGTGGCCGCAGCAATTTGCACCACTTGGCAACCTGTTGCCAGTAATAATAATTGTCAAGACTTTTGAGCCGCTGACTAGCGGTTATGGCCCGCTGCCTCTTCCGCATCGAATTACAATTAACGGCAGCAGCAACAACAACAACTAAAATTGCAGCAGCAGCAGCAGCAACAACTTCGACATAAACTTCCAACATGAATTTCGAGTTTCAAATGTCAGATTCAAATTGAATAATTTGCAGTGGCAAAAAGTAGCAACGCGGCAAAAATTCGTATACAAAAAAAAAAACTTCAAAAATAAATAAGTAATTTAGAGAGCGCGGTAGACAGCCGCGGGGCATTAAATGGCCCGCTTTTGTTTGGGGCACACCTCAGCAGGCGGCTGTAGGCCTTGCGGCACGTTAAAAATGCTACTAAAGTAGACAAAGAACAACAACAACAACAACAATTAAATAAACTTAAATGAAAAACAAACGAGAAACCGTTTTGTGGTAAACTTTCTTGAGAACTCTTCTTTTTATGATTTGGCGATAAGATCTATGCGGACCAAGCCAAACCGAGCGACGTCTGCGTTAAATTAATTGAAAAGTTCAGCTGGCAGCTGCGAAACCCAAAGCCCAAAACTCAAAATCCATTAGCATTACGACCAAAAAAAAAATGTGTTTTAACAGCTGACAAATGTTTTCTGAGCTCTTGACTTCTTTACAATTTAGCTGTAATTAATTATTTTTTGGACTTTTGATGCGGCACTTAAATTGTAATTTGGCATTAAATCTCGTTTAAGTTCTTTTTTTGTGGCACAGTTCAAGTTATTGACTTTCAAAATTGCACTTGTTCGGCAGTGCCGAGAAACCCGCACCCGTACCCGTACCCGTATCCGTATCCGTGCCCGTGATCTCTCGGCAGCCAATCGTTGCCGTGCGTCGGCCAACAGTTCGCGCGCTCAACTGAAGTTCGTTTTGTATCTTGTATCTTGTAGGTTGCTTGGCGCCTGCGCTGCGCACTTTGCAACCTGGTTTGAGTTGCGAGCTGCTGCTGCCCCAACGTTGCGTGTCGGCTCAGCTGTTTTTTCTCCAGCTGCATATCAATTGGTATTCGTTGTTTGCTGCTGACTGTTGGCTCAAATATAATCAGCCACGTTTTGCCCTTTTTTTTTGTTGTTTTTTATTCATGCTCATAAAACCTGTTCACATGTGAGTTGCAGTTGTGGTTTCTTTTCTGTCTGCTAAATTAATACAAAACATGCGTTTTGTCTGCTGCAGTTGATATCGGAGTGTGTGTTGATGGGTACATTAACTTTTAAGCCCGACTGGGGGAACAGGTGCATGAAGCGAAGAGCTTGGCTTAGAACAAACGATTTATATTAAATTTAATTAAAATATTATTATTGTGCGCAATCAAAAGAGCATTTGGATCAATTAACTACATAAAAATATAAATAATAATAATAATCATAATAACAATCATAATATTTATTAGTAATTAAAATAAAGACTAAGTAGCCTTGTACCCAATGGCATTTATCTAATCATATTTGATAAATGCCAATTTTGGGTAGGTCTCAAATTTAGCCCGCATATTGCATATGAAAATATTTACTTGCAATATTTTCAGTACAAGGGGCAGTTGTTAATAATAAAAAAGTATTATATTTGCTTTATAAAACCTTTGAAAATCTAAAACGAAACCTAGTTCGAACCTAAAACTAGCTAAAACAGGTAGCTGATTCTAACCATCAAAAGGTAGCTTTCAATCTGTCATAGTTTTCCACAAAGTATTCTGCCGTAAAGTCCACAAAAGAATATGTAATGAATAATCTGTAGCCTACTGCATAGTTAGCGTATTCAACAGTCGTTATTTATACGTTTAACTCTTGTTGTTTTATTCATGCTGCCGCAAACGTGGGAACTTTTAATTGTGTGTGCGTATTGGATTCGAGGAATTCATGTCTTGCTGCCGTCTCTATAAAGCACTTGAAATGCAAAAGGATATTTGGTATGCTCGGACAGTGCAAATATCAAAGATTTATTGGACGTGCGAAGGCAGTGAAAACCAGTTGTAGGCTTCACTTGTTCTGAAGGCCAAAAACAATGTTGTCCCGCCTTCAAATGAGAAAAGACGGACAATAGCGGAAAACGAGCGCTTGCTAAGGTCCTGCTGTGCGACCCTTATAAACATGTCAATCACAAGTAAATTGTAGCAGACTTAATGGCCAGCCGGAATGTGGGTCGATGGATGGCGAGAAAATGCAAATGGCTGCTGTGTCAGCAGCAAGGACGAGACTATGACGCAGTCAAAGCTGTGTCCTAAGCCCATGCCCGCTGCTCGTTACCCTGGCCCGCTGCTTAGCAACAATTTATTGGCAATCTTCTAGCATAGGCGCGTTTTTTCGCCTCTTTTATTCATTTCCTTATTTTTTTTCGTGAGGAGGGGGGGGGGGTGGTTAGATGGATGTTAAAGCGCGTGATGGGTTGAATGGGCACGTAGCTGATAAAGGGCATTCAAGGATCTCGTGTATGGTTTGTAGCTGGCTGCATTCTCAATTGCAGTGCCGAGTGCGGCCATAAAAGCTGACCGCAAAATGGCGTCGAAAGCACTTCCGGCCAAGTAAAAAACAAAAACCTACCATGCAACACAGAGAACGTACGTGAAATGTTTTCGGCTTGTTTTCCGTATTTTCGTTTTTTTTTTTTTTTAATAACAGACCCCATACACTGCTGAATACATAAGCCCTGCACACCGACTACTCCCTCCACTTGCTCGATGCGTTAGCGGCTATTAGAAAATTGCGAAAATTGCGCGCACGTTTCAAGCGACGTCAACGTCGACGCCGACGTCGACTGCGACGCCACGCATTGCATGCGTTGTGGCAATTGAGTGCAGTTTCAGATTTATTGCAGCGTCGAGCGCTGCACATCTAGAATTTTAAGCAGCTTTGGTCTTAGTTTCAGTTTATTAAACGGCCAGCTGAAGCTGATGTTCTCAATGTGATGGCCTCAGCCATGCATAATTCATTTGGCCTAAGGGTTTTTCATTTCACTGCCAGGCATCGGTGCGTGTGTAAGTGTGTGCATGTATTCCAATAATCTTTAGTGTCCGCTATTCTCCCAGGTTGAAAAGTCTTAATATCTTTAAAGCTGAATACGTTCTCGGAAAACCTCTCTTCGTAGGCGATTCTGAGGTCCTGAGGTCCAAAGTTAACCCAACTCCCTTTGAAATCATAAACTTGGCTGGCTTTAAAGCGAAATCTTTTCTTACCTCTCATTAGTCGGTTGGCCAAGTGTGCCTCAAATTTCATTTTCCCCTTCGTAAACTTAATTTGGCACACACGCGCCTAAAAGAATGCCACGTGAATTTGGGCGGAATGGAGACGAAAACGTTTTCCATCATAAAAGCTATCAAGTTTGCTTGCCTAGGCCCTAATTTAAAAATCTAGGCATATGCCATATGCCATATGCCAGGAGTTTATGGCTTCAGCCTCACCCACACGAGGACGTCCTGCGGCGTTGTGGCAGCTATATATGTGTGTGTGTGTGTGTGTGTGTGTACACGTGTTTGCGTGTATGGTAAATTGTAAAATCGATAGTGTTTAAATGTTGTTGTTTAATCAGCGTACAAAAATATGCAAGAAATTTAGCTGTTGCGTTAATTGATTGAATTTTACGCGCAATTACGTGGCACTACAGAAAACTTTAAGCATAAATATTAATATTGGCAATCAAAATGTATGACAAGAAAATTATGCGTCGGAAAAGCAAATATATATTTGAAATTCAAACAATTGAGGCAATGCGGCAGCAGCTGTTTCACAACAGTCGTGCGCCACACACGCACATCGGATGTTCCAAGGACAGCAGATATAAAACTTTGTGGCTGCACGACTTATAGATACCCTTTAACCGGTAGCTAGATATGCCTATTAGGCTATAGGCCTAGTGTTCCTATTAATTACATTCATTTTTTAATACTTACATTATATTCTTTTATATGTTGAGTAGGGTTCTGCATCCCGCAAATGGGAATTGGAAACTGTTACATATAAATAAGAGTACTTATGTTTTAAATGATAAATAATTTTTTTTCACCTGAATATACCCTTTTATTTGCGTTTTATGAAGGGCATTGAAACAGCGGGAAACTGCTTAAATTAAATTAAGTATGCGCCTCTGTTGCTTCCCCTCGTTACTAGGCGGCACCTAAAAGAAATTTGTGCGGCTGCCAGGAATTAATTTTTGCAACCGCCACCCGAATGTAGGCAACGCCCTTTGTTGTCACGCCAACAATGAAAATGATTTAAAAAAGCCCAAAAAGTACGCTACGATATTTACAACTTCAACAGGCTGAAAATTAAGTTTTTTTTTACGCTTTTTTCTTGTTTCATATGTCCGATATCGGAGATATATACTATTTCTTCTCGTACGGATCCCGACTATCGATTGACACCAAAAAATCGGAATTCTAAGAAATGGCCCAATTTGAGAAAAACTACTATGTTTTTTGCAAAAATTGCGATGTTGGCTGAAAATGGCTGTGACCACGAGTCGAACGAGACCAATCTTTCCAAGATCGGGGCTTATTTGGCCGAGAAACGCGTTTGAAGATTTTTCGATTTTGGAAAAAAAAAACAGGCAGACGAACAAAAATCAAAAATTTCATTGCATACCCAAACGGAGCGGTGGAGCAGCTGGTGCAGCGAGCAGCAGTACCAGTCGGAATCTGCTTTGGGAACGCGCCGCAGGGAGTCCGGGAGTCTTCCTGACGCACCACAACAGCTACAAATGCAAGTATCACAGGAGGGAATGAAATGATTTTCAAATGCTCTTCAGCCAACAATTGATTACTTTTCGTTTCACTTAAGTGACTATGCTTGTACATATTTATCGATGTGCATGTAAGTTTATGCGGTTAATTTGTTCAATAGATATGCTGCCAGCCAGCCAAATTGCCATTCTGACAATTTGATATTTCATATCTGTGGTCTTAAGTTATAAGCCGGCTGTCAAACATTCCCTGAGTGTTGCTTAACTTTGCCAGCATGGCCAAGTCAAAGCGATGCCGTTCTATGTGCTACGGCTAATTGTTCTAAAGCGCTCAACTGTCTTAAGCAGCTTACACTTGCCTCGAACTGTTGCAGCAAGGACACGCAGCACACACACGTGCAAAACCAAACATATTTTAGATTTCCTTTCAACTCAGAAACAACATTGACACACCAAGACATCTTTAACAGGTATTTTATGTTATAATGTTGTTTCTTTCCCTTTTTCACTTCATTTTCCAACTGAATTATCCTCACTTTGCGCTGTTTTCAATTGAGCTTTTCCCTGGTGTCCTGTTACAGCTTGTTCTGTCTCTTCTGATTCCTGGCAAAGAAGCTCTCCTGCGCCAAGCGATGCTCCTGTGTGCTTAGGGACGCGTCTTCGCCAGCCAACGACCAGCTGGCCACTGAAGGCGGTCGATAGTGCCTCAGAAAGGGAACTATGTACTGGGCACACAGCTCGGGGCTGACTAGATGCACGTGATGAGCTCCGCGCACTTCGTGGTATTCAAAGTGGGGGTTTTGCCTCTTTAAAATTGAGATGGCCTCCGCGGACTCAGAATTTAAAAAGGGAGACTCGGTTCCCCTAATAATGAGGTAAGGTATATCCTTAATGCGACGCGCCATTTCAGCTGCCAAGCCCGGATTCAACGGATAGAGAGTGTAAAACTTAGTTCGGCCATCCCTGGTAAAGTAAAACTTATTTGGATATAGCTCCGACTTCTCCACGCTGCGATGCAGCAAATGCTGAGCGAACTCTGCTGGCACCGAGTTGTTGGTGCCCTTGCTAAGGACGCTGCGCAGCTGATTCAGCGTATAGGATGGTGGCTCGTGCATTGAAACCTCTTCAGCGCGCTCCTCTTCTACCAGATGCTTGTCCATAAAGTATCCCATCATCGACAGGCCTTCAGCAGAGTCAAGTGGGGGTAGAAGAATGTCCAATGAGATGACCAGATCCACCTTATGCGGCAGCAGCGAGGTGTAAATGAAGCTGAGCACACCGCCAAGGGAGTGACCCATCAACGAGACCTTCGGCCACTTGTATTCGTTCATGACCCTGGCTATGGCCAGGACCCAATCGTCTGCGCTGTAGTGCATGCCCGGTGGCAGACGTGCGGAGCAACCATGTCCAACCAGATCAATGCACAACACGCCCAGGTAGTCGGGCAGCAAGGGTATCAGCCTATCAAAGGTGCCCATATTGTCCAGCCAGCCGTGAATGGCCAGAATGGGGCGTTCCGATCGATTGCCATACCAGCGGCCCGCCAGGTGACCCCAGGGCGCCGAGATGCGCACATCCTCGTACTGTCAGATGCCAAAATTTACATAAATTAGCTAATTGGCCTTAAGCTTTATTTCAACGCTTTTTTTACTCACGTCGCTCAAGGACAAAGTTCCCATGATGGTTCAATAGATACTAACTCAATAGATACTGACCGTTTATTTCCGAACCGTCAAAGGTTCTTCCGTATTATCTATATTATTATTATTAGCGATAAGCACTGGATTTTAATTACTTAGTGTCAGGTGTTTATTAAAGTCAATAAAATTGCTGCATTCAGCTAAAAGTGCTGACCGACAACTGAACCCAAATCTATCCTAAAGTAGCCCACGAAATTTTATCGTAAAGCTTTTTTTAGCTTTTTGTGAATGAAAATTGAATTGATCTGATTACCAGGAGTTCCAATTGCTTTGATTAATTGAGCTTTTGCCAAGTAAACAAGGCTATCAGCTCAAGAGAAGAAGTTCCCTCGCATTCGTTCGCACAAAAATAACATTTATCAGATTAAAACATAACCTTAAAAACTATGTTTAATATCTGTTCCACTTGCACAATTTCTTAAACTGAATCTCAGCAAACTTTCCATCTTCACGTTTTTCATTTTAATTAAACAAAATTAATTTGTTGTAGATGTAAGCTCAAGGCTCCGCTCAACGAGTGGCCCAGTTTGGAGAATTTCATTTTTGTCTTAGAGCGAAAGCTTTATAAATTAAATAAATTCCAAAGGCTGGTAATTTACTGTTACTTTCAATGGAAAAAGCACGCGCGAGTTGCGTAGGGCATGAATCGCTTATCAGGCATTAATCTCACCAAAAGCTTAGCCGAAAAACAGCTTTACGTTCAAATTGGGGTCTGATTAGATAATTTCAAATTACGCTATACATTCCAATCAGTTGCATTTACATTCTAATTAATATTATCACATTGTTCAGGTTTATTGCATATTCTTTTTCCCTTCCCCCCTTATAGCGTACTAAGACGCTTTGTATAGAAGTTCTCCTGTGCCAGGTGATGTTTCCGAGTGCCCAGCTTTTGCTCCTCGCCAGCTAGCGACCAACTGGATACTTGAGGAGGTCGATGGTGCCTCAGGAAGGGAACTATGTGCTGAGCACACAGTTCGGGGCTGACTAGATGCACATGATGGGTGCCGGGCACTTCGTGGTATTCAAAGTGCGGGTTTTGGTTTCTTAAAATATTTAGAAGCTCGTCGTCGTTGGAGTTTATGTAGGAGGACTCTGTTCCTTTTATGACGAGGTAGGGGTTTTTCTTGATGCGTCGTGCCATTTCAGCGGCGAGGCTGGAATTGATCAGCAATACATTGTGGCACTTGGTGCGGCCATCCCTTGAAACGTAATACTTCTCCGGATACATCTGGGACCTGGCCACGCTGCGGGACAGTAAATGCTGTGCAAGTTCTGGCGGCACCGAGTTGTTGCTGCCCTCGCTGAGGGCACTGCGCAGCTGGGCCAGCGTGTAGGAAGGCGGCTCACGCATTAAAGCCTCTTCAATGCGCTCAGCCTCCACCAGGCACTGATCCAAACAGTAAGCCAAGTAATCCAAAAGTTCAGGTGACTCAAAAGGGGTTAGAAGTATGTCCAACGAGATGACCAGGTCAACAGTGTGTGGTGCGAGTGCAGTGTAAATGTAGCACAAGACGCCGCCCAGCGAGTGGCCCATCAACGAGACCTTTGGCCACTTGTACTCCTTCATGACACGTGTTATGATGAGGAAGAACTCGGCCGTGCTGTAGTGCATGCCCGGTGGCAGTCGTGCGGAGCATCCATGCCCAGGCAGATCAATGCACAACACGCCCAGGTAGTCGGGCAGCAAGGGTATCAGCCTATCAAAGGTGCCCAGATTGTCCAGCCAGCCGTGAATGGCCAGAATGGGGCGTTCCGATCGATTGCCATACCAGCGACCCGCAATGTGACCCCAGGGCGACCAGATGCGCACATCCTTGTACTGTCATATGTTAAAGTGGAAATAGTTTCATGTTAAACAGTGTATAAACAATGGCATTTGCTCTTCAAGCCGTCAACAAGTTTTTAATTATGTTCTCTCACGTCGCTCAGCGACAAAGTTCCCATGTGGCTCTCTGAACTTTGCTCGTGTGTTTATAAATGTTTGACAGCTTATTCCTGACTTCCAAAGGTTCTTCGGTGTAATCTTGTTATAGATTATGTTAGCGTCGAACGAATAGCAATTAATTTATTACTTAATATGCAATTTTTTCTAAACAATTTCACAGCGTAAACATACGACTGACTCAGTCTTTGAGCCCCAACTGTCTACCGGCTACTGAGGCTAAAGAGCTTTGCGTGCTCGATTAAGCAGACGAAAGCTTTCGCCTAAGCTCTGCGGGCGATCGCAAGGCAAGATTGGCTTGTTATCGTGGGAAAAAGCTTTAAGTTATAAGCAATTAATATCAGCAGATAATGATCATTATCAGACATTGCCTCCACGAGCGCCTTATTGAATCAGAGTGGAAAACGTTGACTCTGAAGAATTTTTACAAAGCTGTCAAAGCCCAGACCTAGCACATGTCTGTGTAATCGAGCAAAGGTCACAAATTCAGACCAAAAAGTTGTTGGCAAGCTAAATGTATGATACCCAAGATAGTAAAAGTCGCAAATAGTATGTAAAAGCCTAATCATAGCACGTTCTTATGTTGTACTCATTCTTCTTATCTCTTTCAGCATATTGTAAATAAGGAAAATAAAAACTATTTTTAGTGCCACGTGCACGTGTGTTTAGAGATACGCTACGAATCCCTTCGCTTTTAACACCTCATAGTTTGCTAATATTTAGTTGCCCTGGATGCTCCCATCTGGAGGCTGGTCGATGCCTGTTTATGAAGGGCACAATCCATCCAGCCAGCTGTTTCGGGTCGCTAATCAGCACATGATGAGCTCCCTGCGCCAAATGATACTCGAATTCGGGATTCTGTTTGCGTAAAGTCTGCAGAGCTGGTATGAAACCTTCGTTAATGAAGTTGGAGTCGCTCGCCTTAATGACCATGTATGGAATGTTATGTATGCGCTGATTCAATTCCCTCACGAGGCCAACGCCAATTGGAAAGAGCGTGTGGTGCGCCAGCCGCAAGTCCCGAGATATATAAAACTTATCCGGTTGATCTGACGACGGTCTAGTGCAACGTTCCACCAGCGGCTGTGCGTGCTCCTTGCTTACCGTGGGAGCTGGTCCCCAGCGTACCCCTTTCAGTTGCTCTGCGGTATACAGCTTGGGTGCTGGCACCGGCTGCAGCATGCGCTCCACGCTGTTGGCCAAGTACTTGATGTAAAAGCTGCTGGTCTTATAGGGTATGGTGAGCAGATCAATGGCAATCAGCATATCAACATGATCTCGGCCATAGAAGGAGGCGTACAGATTGCAGGCGACGGCGCCAAACGAGTGACCCATCAGCGAAACGCGCCTCCACTTGAAATGCTGCACCAGCCGGCGAATAATGCTCGTCCATTCAATGACAGAGTACTGCATGCCAGCCGGATAGTGAGAGGAGCGTCCATGGCCAGACAGTTCGACGCAAAGCACGCCCAGATGGTCGGGCAGCAATGGTATAAGACGTGCAAAGCTGCCCATATTGTCCATCCAGCCGTGAATGGCGAGCAGCGGACGCACCTGACGATTACCGTACCAGCGGCAGGCAACTCGGCCCCACGGCACGCCGATGTCAAAGTCAATAAACTGCCGAGAGGTTTTGGGAATGCGCTCCGATTAGCACGTGACTCTCGAATCGAATTTTCCGCATCACTTACCCCAACGCCGCTCATCGTGGTCGCTGCCCCTTTCGGTCTGTTTGGATGCTTCACGGCAACTGAACGACTCACGTACTTTTCAGCGCATTCAGCCGATCCGTTGAGCCCTTCCGTCTACGGACCAAAACTTTTCGACTGGACTTGTTATCTATGCGCCCGAACTAGTGAGATTTGATTCAGCATAAGTGTGTAACTATTTGCTTGCGCATAAACTATGTCTGCCACTAATTCCCTACAGAAGGGGAGGCGGTGGTATTATATACTTATAAGCACGAATTACAAACTTTAGAAATAAATCTAAAAATGAAGTCTAACATTTCTGCTGGGGCTGTGCACTTTTTCGATTCCTTTAGTGCACTGTTATCGATAAAGTATATCGATATTAAAACTGTTTCCACATAATTGTGCCTATAGGCTGAGCCTTGGATGTAAACTATTTTTCATTTCTTGAAACATCCGAATTTCGAACTCTAGAAATAATTCCGAACTCGATTTTTCTTGGTTATTCGCTTCTTCAATTGCTAAGTGCACTGTTATCGATTACAGATAACAATTTTAATGGGGATCTTACCAAAAAAATATCGATTTTAAAATTGCTAAGAATTGCTAAGAATATTCAAGCTGATTAATTTTCAATTTTAAAAGCTTATATTAAATGTTTGGCTTTAACTTGAAATTATTTATTTTATTTATACGTTATAAAATCGGGCAGTTATTATGACCAAGTGAATAGCTCAGTCAAGTCTTAATATCCATTATATCTATGCCAAACACTATGCAAGTGAGTAAACATATTTTATTTTATTTTTGGTTATTGGTTTTGTTCAGGGTATCTTATAGTCTAGCACACCCGACTGAAGCACTTAAACTGTGTTTTGTGCTAGCATTTCATTCAGTTTGTTTTTTCTTACGCCTTATTTTGAGTATTGTATTGTTCTCTCCTTTTACAATCCGTCGTTCTCTTTGTTTTTACCCTGAACTCATTTCGCATCCATTATCTATGTCTAATTCTCAAATGTGTTGTGTGTGCTTTTTACACCTTGCGACAAGTGGCTTCGTGTTGAGTAACACCTCGAGGAGCAGCAGTTCGTTTCGGGCCTGCGAGTTAAAGGGAAGTCTTGACACGGCTGCAAATCGTAGTAAATTTCCTGTGCATTGCTGGCATGATTTATATTTAATATGTGTGCTGAGTAATTTATCATGTCTGCTCTGATCTCCGCTCAAGTGCAAGACAGTTAGTTGCCTCCAAGCGTACCCATGAAGGCACCCAGGCATGTAGCGGGTCCCCCGGCTGTGCGTGTGCGTTGTCATTGGAATTGCTATGCAAATTGTCTAGGGCATCTAAGACCAAAGTGAAAGTGCGATTTCCCTGGCAGCCCAACTAGCCCACTTGGCTGCTACATATGTATATATATATATATATGTGTGTGTGTGTGCTAGTACATATTTTATTGTATGCTTATGCGCCGGCCTTGAATCCATAATTTGCCTGTCAACGACAGCATCCAGCCAAAAATTTGCGCACATAATTGAGTTCAAGCATTTGGAAGCCAATTATGATTTCACATTTTCCATTTTCCATCGCAGTCAGAGCCCGTGCCCGCCACCCTCCCACTTCTGTGTGCTGGCATTTCGCCGGGCGACGTTTTCTTTGTGCCGTTTGCCACGTTTGCGCCTTTTCACATCTCAATCAACCGCGTCCTGGCAGCGACTACTTCGCCTTGTCGTGCCTGCGCCTTTAATTGCTTCTGCCACTTAACATATGCAAATTAATTTTCCTTTTTTCTCGCCGTGTTCGCCTTTCTGTATTTTCCCTCTTCACTCGTTTCATTATTGACCGTGTCCTACTTTGTGCTTGTGGTTATACCATATTGTCCTGTGTGCCCTTTTTGACACCTTAAGTGCTGCCACCCCCTCCTCCATGACAACTGCTTGATAAATATTTATCAAGCGCTGCGCAGGGGCAACAATGGCAAAAAAAAAATAAATAAAGAGAAAAGGGTTAGCCCGCTTTCTTTTTTACCAACAGTCGCCATTTCCTAGAGCTACATTCATGGCGTTTATTTTCCATTCTGCTCAACGGCAGATAAACAATACACGAGCTTCTACAGAATAGTTCACTCCACTTGACGCAACTTGACGGAGCTGAATTCATGGCCTGACGCGTTCAACCTGTCAGCCAAGTATGTGCACAACCCAGGGCTAAACCTGAGCCGAGCTCAGCTTGGTAGATGTTTCAACAAAAGACAACGCCGGAAGTCGCCCGCCGCTCCTGATACGCACATCAGCCGAACAAAGAGCAACAACCACACGAAATGGGGCAACTTTTTGCCATGCTCCTGCTATTATTCTTTATGTGCTATTGCTTTTTGCAGCCCGAATTTTCCGGCTCGACTGTGTGTATGTGCGTGTGTGTGTATGAGCTTTAAGAGCAACAAAAGCATCCGGAACTCATGAACCGACCCAAAACAAACGTTAAAGAAATTGCATTAAGAAATCATTTGGCAAAATATGCAGCACGTTAGAGTCCTTTTTTTTCTTTGAGGCTTGTTCGGTTTCCTCCTAGCATTTTAATCTAATTTTAATGAATTATTTTCACACGAAAATTACTTAAGCTAAAAAGTTTCGTTTTGTGGTGCCATTTTATGGTTTGCCTTTTTTTTCACAGGTCCATTCGGTTCACGTGCACGCACCTCTGTGTGGTGTGCGTGTGTTTTGCATAGAAATGTTCGCAACAAGACGAGGAAATTTTAGCTGCATTTTTAATTTGCATGCGCACAAAAACCGCAATTTGGTCAAGCACATAACGTTTTTAATACCCTCTAACTGCAGTGAAAAGGTGTGTATCAAAGCGAATATTTATAAATAGTAGGCAGGTAACATAACATTTAATCTTATTTATATAAAAATATATATAAAATTATGTACTTACCCCAAAATTCACATAACAGGAGGGAGACCGCCTTATTTAATGTAGGAATAACGCTAAAAGTAAAAAAAAGGAAAGAGTGAATTAAATAGTGTAAGAGCAAAAATAGAAAGATAAATCAAATACGCAAGAGAGAATGTGATAGAGAGAGAGAAAAAATAGAGGGAGCCAGAGAGAAAGAGAGCTACAGAGATATACACAGCACAAGAAAGTTAATGAGATGAAATTCGCAACATACCTTTTTGAAAGTCACCAACGCCGCCTCCTCCTCCAATGTAGAAGCTAGCTCCTTCTGTGGGCCCTTCTTGAATTTATGAGAATCGCATAGTAGAGCAGTAGGTGAAAAATACCTTTTCTTTAAATTTGATGTCAACTTTATTTGCGCTTGGTAATGAGACCATAACTAACACACATACATACATACACACATACATACATACATACATACATGCAGACATACATACATACATCCATACATACACACATACATACATACATACATACATACATACATACATACATACATACATACATACATACATACATACATACATACATACATACAAACATACATATACATACATACATACATACATGCATACACACATACATACATACATACATACTCAAATAAACAAGTCGATTGCAATAACTCTTGCTAATGCCATACTTTACATACTCGGAAAGTATGAACACATGCCAGCTCTACCTAAATTCAAAGCAATTTTAATTGCATCGTAATTGCAATTGGTCTGCATTTGGACCGTAAGTGTGTATACACATAAATACGTTATGTTTTCCAAACCATTTTCAGTTGTTTATGCAGCCATTTTCCCCACCATTCACTTCACATCACCTTAGTTAACAACTGCTAAACATTCAGCTGTCTCGCTCAAACAGTTTAAACTGCATGTTGGTCAGCAATTTGTTAGTCAATCAGCCAACACAGAAACTTTTAATGGAGAAAATATTCTCTCCTAATTTGCTTGCATTTTGTTGTATAACTATCAACTGATGTATTAACTACCAACTATTAATAAAAAATGTCTATAATATATTCATATTGTTCTCAACCTTGTTCTCTGTTGGCTTGACTCTAAATTCTGCTACCTTTATCTCTTTTTATATGTCTTACTACAATTACTAGGCATAGCTTTCAGTCGCATTTCAACAATAATTAATATTAATTAAAGAACTTACAAATTACCCGTAAAAATCCAAATTGTTGCTCGTTTGAATATGATACGAATATGATATGTCGCACGAAAGTACGCCACCGTTTTTTCTCGCTTTTCAGTTAATGAGTTGAAATGATTTTATTGCCGTCGCACAAAAAAAGGTAATGCTTTTTTGATTGCCCGAAATTGAGTCGCATATGATTTAAATGTTCTTGCCAAAAAGCAGGCAATGCTCTTTTTGGCCGCAACGGGCTTTTTTGCTTGTCAGCATGCGCCGCCACGCACTGTGCGTATACTTAATGTAAATGGCAGCTATTGTATACACTTAATGCCACGCGCCTCATTTTGTGGCGAATAAGGAAATCCCAATGCCGATAAATTAATTAGCCACAAAATTTATGATTCCAGTTGAGCTGAGTTATATATTATTTGTTTGTTTTGGTTTTGCTTTTGCTTTTCCTTTGTTTTCTGCCGGTTGGGTTCGCTTGTTTTGTTTATTCGTTTATTAGTTGCGCATCGCTGCCCGCCGACCAGTTAATAATTAATGTGGCTTATTTATGCATTGTCATAGGGATTGGTCATATATATTTTGGGCATTTGTCAAGCATAAATCTGTTTGCAGCGTGCTCAACGTCTGGATACACAGCATTTCATAATTCAAATTATTCGATTTATGTTCACAGAACTCGCAGTGCTATCTGCTTGTTGTCTGTGGACAAACACTTCAAGCTTTGTTGCTCTGTTTGGGCCACTTTAGCCACATGCCCGTCGTAATTTACGAGTGCCCACAGAAACGCACTCAAATTGTGTGTGTGTGTGTGTGTGTGTGTGTGTGAGTGTGTGTAATGCCAAGACAATTGGACCAAATCGATTACCTGACCGCCAGTTGCCACAGGCTCCGAGCTGTGAACTACAATTTCCTATTGGCTACTCGTATGTATCGATGCTTAGCTGTAGTCTGGTCATAAATTTCCGTTTTTGGTTAACTGTAGTTACAACGCTTCCAAACTAAAGGCCCCAGTGTATTTGGCCTGCTTTTCGGAAATTTCCACAGAGAGCACGATTTACACTGCAAGTGGGGAATACCGAATAGGTTACAGCTGCAAGCGGTTGTTGGCATTCTTTGGTTGGCTGAAAAATGTATGCCCCTTGTGTTTGGAACTGGGCAAAAATGCAATTGCAGGAATCCTTTGTAATTTGAAATTGTGGCCAGAAAGTTTTTAATTCAAGGTTTATTTTTGATTTCGGTCTGAGGCAAGTTGAGCCAATAGTTTCTGGATATGTGTGTGTGTGTGTGTGTTTGTGTTAAGTTGTGTTGTCTGTCGGAACTTTTGGCATTTTGGCCCGTAACTGAACTGCAAAGTGTCACAATAGTTCAAACGGGCTCAGCAATTAGAAATTGCCATTTTGACTGCTGGCCCCAAGAACTTGTGAATTTGTAATGTGGCCAACGGCGATTAATTTATGCATTGAAAGACTGTGGAACTGCCAGCACAAGCCACAATTAGTTATTCTTCTTCCTCAAATTGACACACAACTTTTAATGCATAGTCCCAAAACTCAAATAATGCGCCAGATTTTAATTAAAAACAAATGCATAAATGCAATGCCCGAGCTGCAATTTGCATGAAATCCAATTAAACTTTTTATCTAACCAATCCAAATAAATCATACGCATTGTTGTCTCCAACTTTCCAGAAATAAAAAGGGCAATCAAGATAAATATCCAAGCTGCCAGACAGCCTGACATGTGCACATTAGTTTCTCATCCAGATAAGCTTTGTAGTTGGGCTCGGGTTTATTTAAACAGCAACAGCAGCAGCAGGAACGGCAGCAGCCGAGCGAAATTTGATTGCCATTTGCTGGAATTTGCGGTGAGCGGCAAAGGCAACGCCTGAGTAACCAAAAGCCGCACGGACGTGCCACAGTGCCTGCAAGTGAAAGAAAAGAGAAATTCATCAAATAAAGTAAAATAAAGCAAAGTTGGCAACGCGGCACGTACAGTGCCTAAAAACGGCAACCGCCCAGCGCCAGCCCAACGTCTCCGCCCTTTTGTTCTTGCCTGGCCGTCATTTGCATTTGCATCCTTGCCTCGTTCTGTTTATTTGCACTTGCATTTTGTATTTATTCACTTTTTGTGCAGCACTCCCTCGTTCCTGTTCCTCCCTGTTTGCCAAATGCCGAATGCCATGTAATTTGTAGCAACAACTTTTTGATATCAATGTAAATTTTAATTTGTTTGGCAAATATTTTGTTCAACATTTTGTGGCATGAATTGAGCTGTGAAATTGCCAGAAGCAGCGCCAAACCAAAATGGACAAACACAACAAATTTAAATACAAATAGCCTAAAACTACTGATTTTAGTGTAAACAGCAAAATTTCACTATATATATATATATTGGCAAATCGACTACAACAGTGTATACTAAGTTGTTTAATGTTTTTAATACCCTTTCAGCGAATCTTTGGGATATTAAAAAACAGTTTTTGGTTTTCAGTAAATATGTGTTCAAGCTTCATGTAATTCGTATACTTAAGGCTATGTCAGAGTCGTGATTAAAGCTACATTTTTGAGTATCCTGTAATGCTGAAAGCAACTCGGTAAAAACTCTCGCTGACAAATGGTTTAACTTTTATTTTATTAATTTATGTAGGTCTTCTCTCATCCAATGGTCTCACACGCCAGCATAAGGAAAGTTTATTAAGTAATAAAACATTTAAATTATGTGCTCAATAATAATACTAATTGAAAATGTTTAATATAAAACTTGTATTGAAGAGCTTAAGGACTCGCAGCTAGCTTTATTTTAATATTAATAGTTTATTAATTTATAATTAATTTGCTTGTATAAGACTTCATAGATCAACAAATTATATTTTGCATTTTTCAAACAACAAAACAATACAAAAATAATTAAAATTGGGCTTTATTTATGGTAGAGCTGAAGGCCTCGCAGCATCATTTTAATATTATTTTTTAAATCCCATTATGCTTAGTTGAAATAAATAGCTAAATATTTAATAAATTTATAACTTTTAGGGCTCATCAAAAACTACAAATCGTATCATAATCATATCTACAAATCTTCTTTTTGAATTTTACAAACTCTATGACTACAGGGTATCGCGCAGTCGTCACATGCACGCAAAGCTTACACAAGTAACCAAAAGCATTTACCAAAAGAACCAACTGCAAAATGCAGTGGGGTGAAATTCTTCAACACAGTTTGTTGAGGCAAAAGTTGTTTCGCTTTTGATTGTCGGAACATTTGAGTGCAGATTGTAAAGTTCTCAACTTGATCAAAACTAAGTGGCGAAGCATTTGCACGCATGCCAGGACATCAGCAGCCGACAGCAGCAGTAGCAGCAGCAGCAGAAGCAGAGTCCTGTCAGTTAGCAGTGCGTACATGTGTGTGTGTGTAACAGCATGTCCCGCTGTGCTCTTTTTCTCACTCTTGGCGGCCGCTCTGCTCTGACAGCCTGTTTTCAATTTGTAATTTTTGCTTAGGCGTCTTGTGCCTCGTCACTTGTGAGTTTCTTCAAGCGACACGTTTTAAAGGAGGCAGCGTCCTGGCAGCTCGTCCTGGCCGCTGACGCTTGTTGACAGCCGCCATCAAGCTGGCAGTCAGTCAGCCAATCTGAGCCGTGTCTGGCGCTGTCAGGCACGGGAATGCTGTGTGGTGTGTGTGGCGGCCATTTCAATGGGCCTCTGTTGCATGCCCCGCAGTCTAGACAGTGTCGCTGCGTAGCTTCACTCCGTCGAACACTCACGATAATTTCCTAATGCGGGCTCTGCGAGCATGCCAAATATTTATGCATTTCCATAATGCACTCAACTTAACTGAGCCAACTCACAAAGCTGCCAAAAGCGTTGGCAATCTCTCCTCTCTCTCTCTCTCTCTCTCTCTCTCGCTTCTGGCCCGTTTTGATAGACAGGCGCGCCGAGGCCAGTTAGCGGCTGAGTTACAGTGCCTACCAGCATTTTCTTATCGCGATGAGGCCAGAAAAAAATTGCATGGAAATGCGACGCCAGCGAAGCTGACGAAACCAAATGAGTCGCCGCTCGTTCTTGTTTCTCGTTGCTCGTGCGATAAAATAAATAAAATTGGCATTTTATGCAAATGCCGCGCAAAATTGTTGGCAGGGGCCAAATAAATATGCTTCAAGTGAACAGACACTTAATTTTAAACAACAGATTTGCTTGAAAATAGAAGAGCGCACGAGCAACTACATCAATGAGAGTTAGCAAGAAAATGTGCCAAACAAAAGAATGAAATCTCTCGCTTCATTAAATATGCTGGCTAAAAATAAATTTAGAAGCGAGTAAGCTGCCAGTTAAACTTCACTTCTGAAATGCGAGCATACAAATCCCAATTAGCTGCAGCTTAGTTGGCCAACAAAAGCAAAGCTGGCTCCAAAACACAAAGGAAGACATGTGAAAATTGGCTCTTAACTTGGCCAAAAAACTACTTGAAACCCAGAGAAATCACATTCTGGCAAATGTTCCTCACTTATTACATAATTAATAATTAGACGAGCAAAAGTATTTTAATAACTCATGCCACTGGCCAACTGAGTACTCAAGTTCTTAAGTGCTCAAGTTGTATGTGTGCGTGTGTGTGTGGGTCAAATCAATGTGCGAAACGTGCTAATTGCGGCAGCTGTGCAAATGTGTGCCTTGGCCATTTGATAGTTTGCCATCATTTTGATGGCTTTCAGGCTGTCACAAGCCACACTCACACCCACGCCCACAGACACGCCCACAAAACTTGGCATTGGGCTAGTTTAATGTGTGCGCTGTTGGCCATTGCCAAAAAACTAATTGCCAAGACATCAGTGTTTGAGGTCAGGCACACAAACTTTTGCATAAATGCCTTCAGGCAGCACACACACACACACACACACACACACACACACGCATACACAATTGTGTGGCATACTTTAAGGCGAAACTACTCGAAAGTTTCCTTTTGTGCTGGCGATCCGTTGGTCGGTGTGTGTAAGCTGTTGTGCGTCGTAAAAATTGACATACTCATCGCCGCCGTAACACGTAATGAGATACTTCAAAATGATGTTATTGCTTTATTTATAGCGTCACATAAAAGCTGGCGATGCTTGAGGTTTGGCTTAGCTTTGGTTTTAGGTTCGGGTTCGGCTTCCGGTTTGGCTTTCATTTTTTACTTGGCTAGCAGCCACATAACCTTTTTTATGTAGTTTTTTACTTTTATAGCTGCCATTTGTTTGACTTCATCTGTCACACACACACCTGCAACTACCTACACCCACACACACAGCCACACACACATTTATCTATATGTTGACTAATAAAACTGCTGCAGCTGAGTGCCTCATATTTTCATAAAAGACAAACTGCTTCAGTTAAAGTAATTGGCAGCAGACGTTGTTTACCTTGATAAAGTAAAACAACATCATCAAATTATTCTATGTTGCATCAAAATAGAAAAAACAAACATCAAACACATTTTAATAACAGCTTTTTATGGCCAGACTGTTAAAGGCTCAATGCAATGGCATATAATATTACGAAATTGCCACGAAAAATAAATAGAATTCTTTACATATGCAAACTTTATTTATATCAGGCAAATGTAGAGCATACAGGCGAGTCCCATGTGCACCATTCCATTTGAGATATTCATTTAATTTAATTCCATTTCAAATTCAGTTGCATTCCATTTGTGTCTCTCCAATACATTTCATTACAATCTAATCTATTTTATTTCATTACGTTCGCCGTTGAACTTGCCTCCTCTATTATATTTCAATCAATTCCATTCCGTGCCATTCTGGGATTCATGCGAATTATGTTCCAATATTTTGCATTCCATTCGGTTCCACTCCACGTTCAACTGCATTTCCATCCAATATTCTATTTCATGCAATTCCATTTCATTCCATTGGGGGAACCGCGGGAGTTAACCTCATTCTATTGCATTCTATTCCATTCCATTTCATGCTCTATTTAAATCAACTGCACTTTACTCAACTATTTTATTTCATTTAATTCAATTTCATTGCATTCAATATTTTTATTAACCAATTATATTAGAAATGGCTTTCATATTGACACATTCATTCAGTTACATCAACTTGTTTATAAATACAACTAAAAACTCTTTGTTTATGCCTTGTTGCAAACTGAAAAGTATAAAATAAAAAGCTGTAACTGAAAAACTAAAATTCGTTTCAAATGTTTTATATATATATATATATACAAATATGTATTTTTTTCTTCCCAATTCATTGTGGAAAATAAAATGATTTTCTATTTTTCTATATCAGAAAACTTCAGCCAAACTATACTCTATAGACTGTCGCCCTGTTTCAGAGTCGCATGAAAAATTCACGAACAGATTCCGCCTGGTGCGCACATTTAAAATGCACTTTGCCGCTGGAGAAATATTCAAAATAGAAATGTGAGGGAAAATATTTTTAGCGATATAGCGAAATGCACGCTGCAAGTGAATGCTTTAAAGTGCATCAATTTAATAATGCAAACATGCAGCAAGTTGCATTAACTTTTGCCGCGCAGGCGGCATTAAAATTTGCATAATTGCTGCGAGTCAAGCGAGTGAAAGAGCAAGAGCGAGAGAGAGAGAGCTGTACAAAGGATTTGTTGTAATTGTTATTGTTGTTGCATGTTGCACCACATGCGTGCAACAACGTAAAGAGGTTTTCCCCAACGTAATGAAAAGCGCGTCCAGCACTTGGCACAATTAACGATTTTTCATGATTTCAGTCCATGCAAGCAATTTGCATAAATCAGTGCAAAGTATCTGTGACAACGCAAAAGATGGCCTGAAAGGGGGCCGGGCGGCGGGAGCTCTATTTGTTGTGTGTGTCCTGCTGCTGCTGAAAAATGTTTACACATTTGCAAATGTCTGAAGGTCAGTCGGGGGTGGTGACGGGCAGTCAAGGGGTGTGTGTGTGTGTTGCGACATGATTTAGGCGCCCGTGCCCGCACTGAGTAATTGCGTGGCGGGCTTTGCCCCGGTCTTGGCCAGGTCACGCCTGATTCTGTGCCTCGGGCAGCTTTAATTTAATTTATGCCCAACAAAAGCAACAACCGAGGCGGTTAAAAATGGGAAGCCTTGTCGAGGGCCACTAAGTGGCCGCTTCAGCAACATTAAATGCACTCAACAATGTTGCTGTTGTTGCTTTTGTTGTTGCTGTTGTTGTTGTTGTTGTTGTTGCTGTTGCAGCTGCATAGCTGCCTTTTAAATAAAATTTATTGTTATGGCAACACAATGTGTTTAGTTTTATGGCCCATAATATGCATAATATTTATGCACTGTACTGCATTTGCCTGCAGCTGAGCTATTTAATGCGTAATTACAATGAAAATCTTCTTAAGACAGTCAACTGTGCCCCAGCTGGCAAAGGCAAATGCTGTGAAAGCAGCTTAGTGCTTGCTTTATTGAATTCATAAGCGTGACTTCCTATCTCACTCGCTCCTTCACTTTCTTTCTCGCTGCAGTCAAAAGAACTTCCCAAGCGTAGAAAGGTCAAAAGAAAATGCGTGCAAAATGGCAAAAAGAGCATAAAAAAAACAGCAGCAACTGCAGCTGCAACATTGCAACAGGCAACAGCAGCAGCGGCAGCAACAACCGCAAGCGGATCGTCAAAGCTCAATTAACTTGCAACAGTGCCAACAACTTCAGCTAATTAGCCAGTGCTTGGGCCTCAAGTGTTCTGTCCTCTTTAACAAACGCCCAACCACCCACCCACAATCGTGCTGAGCTGGGCGCAAGAAAAAGCGTAGCATGCTCTAAGGCGCTGCTCAGAATCTCACAAACACTTCATGTCGCAAGTCTAGATATTATAAGCGATGGTTGTCGGTTTGTGCATGCCACTTAGTTGCACGTCGCATTAAGTTGCCTCCAGCCAGAGCTGCAATTAAACCTGAGCTCACCTTAGATATACATATGTATATATCTAATATCTAATCCAAACATTGGTCGCCATTCAATATTTGACTTGAAATTAACTGAATTTATTGCTGCAAATATTTTGATTTGTGTTTATTTTAGTAGATTGCATATCTTTGGGCACCAATTTATAAACTTACAAATTTATGGCCATACTTTGTGCTAGACAAGCAAAATATTTGCCTTAGACTTGCTTCAAATCTGAGCAAATTGCATTTCGGATTGAATTTGATTTATTTCAAACTTGATGCTAACAAAATATATTTATTCACAGAAAGATTTGTATCAATATTTAAGCTAAATGAATGCATTTTGTAACCTGCTCAGCTTTCAAGTGATTTCACTTGGCATTCAATATACATCAGCTTAAATTGTCTGTGAATAGTTTAAGCTCATAAATAAGAATACAAGGTGATCAAAAATATTGTTAGAAATTAATAAATAGAAATAAAAGCTACCCATGACAAATATGAAGGCTGCAAAGCGATTCGAACTGAGAACTTTAAATAATTTTTAGCTATAACTACAGACGAAGCTTAAACCAAACCAGCCAGTTAAAAGGCGCCGGTTCAAATGAACAACTTTTGAGCAAAACTCAGCCTTAAAGAATTAAAAGTGTTGGCCTAAGTAACATTATTGATAAATGATAAATATTTTTGGCCAAAAAACAAATGTAGCCCGCATTTTGTTTATGAAAATATATAAGACTTACAATATTTTCAGTACAACGGGCAATTGTTTATACGAGATGAAATTGTTTTATTTGGAATTTGGAAAATATATGACAAGGTTTGAACTAAGCATGGGGCAAGCTGCTATCTCGAGCCATAAACGGAATCACCGACAACTTCTATTGACTTTGCAGCCCTGCCTCTGATAAATACATCTTCGTGATTATTTATCATACTATGCTAGTTTTGTACTCTTTCATTAATACATACCCGAGTAACTGCTCCCATAGCTGTAGCCGCAATTGTTGCTTTGTTTATGTTGCAACCGAATTGAGAATTAAAATTTCATTTTGCTGGCTGCTACTTGGCATAGAACATCAAGGCAGCATTATTGAGAGGTGAGTCGTTTAATTATGGCGTCTCTTGTTCGGCAACATTTATCTTATCAGCCTGTTCGACAGCGTACAAGATGTGTTATCTATCAGCAGCCGCTGATAGTTCCTCGCCGCATCGGCGCTTGCAATCGATGCCATTTGTAAAGACTCCCTCAACGCGCACAGATGTCCCAGTCAATCGATGCAGCTACCCACGATGCCTGATTCTATGTGGCAGGCGATGCGCAACATGCTCCAGCTGCCCGATCTGCTAGGTAGGTATATAAAAGTTAGGGTGTGTGCTCTTCTGATAGTTTTTCTTTGGCCAGTTTTGTGCTGCCTGTGGGGCAGCGGCCTCTCGCTAGGCTACTACCTGAAGTCGGCCTTTGTTTATGATAATTTGTGGCCACACTGGTACGCACTGGCGGCTGGAATCATGGCGCTGATCCTGGCTCTGGGCTGGACACTGCGCAAGCAAGGCAAGCAGCGTTATAGCTATGATCACTATTACATCATATTCTATGGACTGCTCTGCTCGCTGCTGGGCAGCTGCTTTATGCTCAGCAATCAGTTGGGTGAGTTGAACGCCAAAGCTGGTTGGCCAATTGGATTCTAATGGACTTTGACATTGCTTCCAGCAGCTATTAGCTACTACTTCAGCTTCATTGGCCTGAGCGTAGTGTATGTGGCCAGTCTTAGTTATGTGAGCCTGCGCAGCGACGCCTCTGGGCTGCGTCCGGCACGCATTGCCTTGGCCAATGCCTCGCATGCCTGCGGCCTGGCCAGCGGCTTTGTCATCTTCAACGAGTTCGAGCCACAGCGCTGTGGCCTCATTGAGCTGGGCATCAATCTGCTGCTGCTGCTGTTCGTCTGCATCAATGAGCTGCTGCAGCATCTGGGCGTGCACAACTACAAGCAGTCCAGGGACTTGGTCTTCAATCTGCTCAACGAGGAACGCCTCGTCTTCCTGCCGCGCCCGGCCATACTGGCCCAGTTTGTGGGCCGCACCGACTATTCTCTGCAGCACAGTCGCCAGTGGCTGGTGCTGGTGCTGGGCGGCCTGCTGTTGGTGCTGCAGCGCTGCTGCCTGCTACACTCGCCCGTGCACCTGCAGCTCATGTGGAGCGCCACCTCGGGCTTTGTGCAGCGCTCCCAGCTCTTTACACCCTTTGCTCTATATGCCGGCGGCTGTGCCCTGAGCGCTCTGTTGCTGCTACGTTACACGCCCAAGCTGGTCTATTTGCTGTTTGGCGTCATACAGCTGACGCTGGTGGCGGCACTGTTGTGCATATATGATGAGGATCAATCGGAGCATTGTTTTCTGTTCCTGTGCCTCATTTATGCAAGTGTAGGCGTGCTGTCCAGCCAGGCGCTGCACTGGCTGCTGGAATGCTCGCCCTTTCTCTACGCTGAGCTGTCGCTAGCCTTGGGCCTTGTCCTGCAGCTGGCCATAATGGAGGCCAGCAAATACGAACTGGGCGTGGATGATGTGTGGACAACGCTATTGGCCAGCAGCCTGACATATCTACTGCTGACATTGCTGGCCATAATGTTGGTAGTCTGGCTGCAGCCCCGCTCCGCTAGTCTGGTGGATGTGCGCAATCGCCTGCTGGGCATACGACGCCTCAATTTGCCCGCTGCCCAGACCCAGTTCTGGCACACCAATCACTTTCTCGCCCACGACAAGCAGCCAAATGAACTGCAGTCCGTGCAGCTGGACAAGACGCGCGTCTTTCAGCAGTATCCAATTAGCAGCTCCGCTGGCAATGACAAAGCGAATAAGTTTTGAAATAAAACGTTGCGTTTCTTATAACATTAGCTTAGGATTAACTTATAAGCCGTTTACTTTTTATCACAAAGTAAAGGAGTTGCTTACTGCTCGTTAAAAAAGCACAAATATTAACCACACATTAAGCTTCTTCATTTTTAGAACATTAATAAAATAATATAATATAATAGAATACTTCAGCTATTGCTTTTATCTTAAGTAATTACCCAGGTTTTTCTTAACAATTTTTACAAATATTTTGATGGGTGCTTAAGCACAGGTAATCTCTCTTGCGGTAATATCTCTGGCTCATTCTTATTAATTATATCTTGGTCATCTGTGACTAACGACCAAAGTCTTGAGTGCAGGGCATAAATGATTTTTATTGATTTTTAACAAATTAAATTGCGCGTTAACCGCAACTGAATTTATCATAAAGATGTTATATATCAGTGCGTCCAGAAGCTACTGCCACGCCCAATCTCCCACGCGTTTTCAGTGGTTCGCCAGCCTTTTGCCACAATTTTATTGCCAAAACATTAAACATTTATATCCGCTATCAATTTCGTTGCGTCGGAAAAACGTAATCGCATTGCAGCCTCTGCCGCTGTTACTGTCGCTGTCTTCCTCTCTCTCACTCTCCCTCCCTCCCTTGCTTCCGCTGCGAGGGGGATTTTTCCGGCTCCTACCTAATTTAATTTACGTAGAAAACCCGGCCGCAACGTGCTATGGCAATAAAAACGTTAAATTTGTTTATTTTTTCAAGGCGCCTGAATACGATGGGCTGGCTGGGAGGCGTGGGGGCTTACCCATTGAATCCACCCGCTTCGATTTTGATGTTCGGTATTTTTGTGCCCTTGCTGCTTAGTGTAGCATACCTCGGGGCGCACATTGAAAATGCTCGCACATCGGCACACACACACGCGCACACACACAGTCGCACTCTGTCTCTCTCTGGTGCTGTGGCCCTTTTGTTTTCTGCAACGCCATTGTTTTTAAGTGGGTGCCGCACATCCTTTGCTCCCTTATCACTAATGAAGTGGCCAATGAACTGCGACCCAAAGATTAAAGCGAAATTAAATGCCAGCCCAAGGTTGATTGATCGAAAAAAGGTGCATGTGCTAATTTAGTAGAAATAAAATGCTCGCTACGAATTTATATTCGAAATAGCTAGGGACTCGACAGCCCCCAACATGAAAGCAATTTAAAAGTAATTAAGCTAAAAATGCCCGAGTTTTTGCCAATCTGTAGCACAACAAATACACGTTCTTTTTCAACATACAAATAAATAAATATTCGCCAGTTATAAGGGGGCAAAGGTATTTTGCAGCGCTTAAATTACGATTTTCTCTTTCTGCTTAACTACAATTTGAATTATTTAAAATTCTATCTAAATTCTGGTTTATAGTAAACCTAATTTTTTAAAGCTTTCAAGTGTTTTAGTGCGCCTCTCGCTGCTGACGGACTCAGAGATGAGTGCAGCAGCTATAGGTTGCTTTTTCTCTTTCTCCGCTTCACATTCTCGGCGTCGTCCACGGCTAAGGCGAATTTCTGCACAACCTCTGGCAATTCTTCCTGCTCATCCACCGTCCAGGTCTCCAGATGCGGTGGCCTGTGATGCATTATAAATGGATTGATTATTTCGGCAACGCCCTTTGCATTGTTCAAATGCACATGGTGTGTGCCCTGCACCTCGTGCAGTTCAAAGTGTGGATTATTGGAGCGCAGTATGTCAATAACCTCCTGACTTTCGCCATCTATAAAGTTCGACTCGGAGCCCTTGATCACACAATAGGGCACATTGCGTATGGTCCGGGCCAGTTCGGCGGCAAAGGGCGGACTTGTGTGGAACTCAAAGTAATACTTGCAGCGTCCGTCCCGCGAGAAATAGTACTTGTCCGGGTATTTGGTCGACTTGGCCACATTGCGGTCCAGTATATGATGGCAGTTCTCCAGCGTCACCGAGGCATCGGAGCCCTTGTGCAGCACATGCTCCAGTTCTTGCCACGTATACGATGGCGGTTCCTCGCGCTTGGCATTGGCGAAACGCTCATCCTCGACCATGTAACGCTCAATATTGGTGCGCAGGTATTCGATTTGCGATGGTGGCTTGCGGTAACGCGTCCTAACAATGTCAATGCTGATCAGCATGTCGAGGCGATGCGGATAGAGCGAGGCAAAGATGAAGCACAGCATGGCGCTCATGGAATGGGCCATTAGCGACACCTTCTGCCAGCCATACTCCTCCATAATGCGCAGTATCACGCACAGGTAGTCGACAAAATGATAGGCAATCCCCTCCGGCAGCTTGGACGAAAAGCCATGCCCAGGCAGATCAATGCACAGCACGCCCAGGTGCTTGGGCAGCAGCGGCAGCAGCTCGTTCCAAGTGCCCAAATTATCCAGCCAGCCGTGCAGGGCGAGTATGGGACGTACCTGGCGATTGCCATACCAGCGGCCTACGACATAGCCCCAGGGCATATTGATGCGCACATCCATGGGCTGCAAAGGTAGAGAAAACCGAGAGTTGGGTTAGTTGTTGCCGACACGCAGCTAATTGACAGGCCAAACTTTGTATGGCACGGAATAACCCGAGGGTGTTCGAGCAATCGAAAAGGGTTCGCAAGAAGACAAACGAGCTCATTCCTAAAATATGCCCAAACGGGTTAAGTTAACATATTTGGAGATAAATTTAAGCAAAAATTGGCAAGAAATTGATTGTGCATAAAAGAAATTATAGCACAATTGCAATAGCTAAAATATGAAGAATTATTTTGAGTAGAAGAAGAAAATAAGCCAAATTATAAATTATCTTCGAGCAATCTAATCGTGGCGCAAAACTAGTTTAATTTAAGATTATTTAGTTGACTTTTTGGGCAAATATGGAAACTATTATTGTTATTATCAGTTCAATAGAATCAAAAATGTTAGTGTATTTTGTCTTCGGCGTCTGTTGATAAGCTCGATTTTATTTGATCAATCGTTCGGTTTACACGTGAAAAAGTTCACACAATTGACAACTGAGCCGCGCAGGTGCAGATTGATTGGCAGCATTCAGCTTGAAGCCGCCCGACAATTTATCATCTGCAATTTTTTTTTTATCGGAATGGGGCTCGCAGTGCCTGGATATTGGAGGGCAATCGATGAAGGTGCCCGTTCTGCAATTGACTGCAGCGCATGCAAACTTTAAATGTCGACAAATGGATTTTCGTAGTTTTGCGCAACAAAAAAAAGACCAAACTTTTCACGACACTTTTCGAATTGTCGTTGTTGTTGTTATTGTTGTTGTTGTTGCTTTTGTCTAAGAGTTCGCTCGTTCAACTTGAAAATTAGCGCAAAATGCTTTCGAGTGTGACACAAAGTCTGCAAAAGTTTCATCCCCTCCTCCTTCTCTTTTTACCACATTTTGATGAACTTCTAATGAGCTTAATAACAGCAAAGGCGTTTCAAGTTTTCAAATTGCCCGCAGCTCCACTTATCTGACTCGAATCGGAATGCTCTACTTGAGACATCGCCTAGCTACCTCATTTATAATTTATTTATTTGTATTATTATTGACTTTGATTCGCGCAGCTTTAAATCTTATCAGCAGACATTACATGTTACCGTTGTGATAAGGTGAGAGGTTCAACTGAAATTGAACCGGTTCAAAGGTAACAAATATAGACTCTAGACATGCTACGTGATTTTTATCTGATCTGATAAGAGCACGTCGTCCGTATTTGTTTACTGATTGTTGTTCAACATACAATCAATGTTTATGAGCTGCAATTGGTTATTTAATTACCCGTTCGTGTTGTTCACTTTGTTCAATTTCCTTCATGTCCGTTGGCATTGCTGTCATTTTGGTCTCCCACTCAGTCGTCGCTCAATATGATATAATCCACGTCACAGTTGTATATATAAAACATATGCATATATATAGTTAATGGGAATTTACATATATGTTTTAATATAGCAACAGTTAGTTGTCGTTCTAAATGAGTGACTAGCGGAGCAATGAACGCGAACAGCGCGTAAACTAAACTAAAACGAATTTGTTTGTCGCGGCGATTAAATCGTACGGAAACGTGAGCGGAGAGCGAGCGCGAGCAACAGACTGACCTTTAATCAGGCACATTAGCCTAAGCTAATTGACAGCTGTGCATGAAAAAAAAAACACCTGAAAAGATTGATAAACCAACAAAGAGAGCGTGAGAGCGTGTGAGAAGAAGAGAGAGGAAGTGAGAGCGAGTCAAAGACAGAGCTGTCATGTTAGCTTTTTAATAGCTAAGCTTCACTTTTATGTATTTGCAAAAACCACAAAATGTTATATACTTTTAGCTAGTAATCTGGCTATTTTAAAGGTCAAAGAATATAAATGCCCTTCTCAACCCTTTACAACTCTCAGGAAAACATTTCCTGATTTTAAAATCCTTAGATACAGAGATTTTGTTGATGATTTCGTGTAAAAAAATCAGCAAAAATATTTTTTTTAGAATTTTTGATAATTTTTTTAGCCATTTCTAGCTAATTTTCTAATTAATAAAGCCAGTTTAGCCCTTGAAATTCTGCCAACACTGTTCAGAGAGCATTGGAGCAGTGGTCATTTGATCGAGCTTATGCTGTTCTTCAGCTTATCTAACTAACGCAAACACAACTCTCATAATATCGAATAAGAAATTCGATAAATTAACGCGAAAAAAAGAATTCATTGAGTCGAATAACAAAATTTCTTGCAAAATTTATATATGTGGGAAAACATTTTAAAACTTGGATAAATATATAAAATTGTTGTTGATAGTGTAATCAGTCTTTTGAACAACAAAGTTGCTGACATTGCGAAAAAAAGCTCTTGTAGCACAAAGCAAAAAGCTCAAATAAATGAATGCTTACTCGCTCGATCGTATGTCATTGAGTAATAAATTATTACTCAATGATCGTATGTGAACGTCCAAGTTACTGAGTCACTTGTTACAGGCAAAAAAGAAGCTTTTTGCCAATCAAGCACAAAAGCTTTTATCTTGGAAAAATAGAAAATATAACTCATTTTTGACAGCTTATTCCTATACATACTTAGTAGTCCAATGTTGATAGGAAAAGGTTCATATATAAGCACGAAAGTGAAACTAAAAAATGCCTATATAGGTCAAGTTATATAGAACATGTAGTTTTTCATATCCTGCCGGTTCGATCCTGCCGGTTCCAACATATGTACTGCCTGCAACAGATAGGCGGACCTATGCGAAATCTCATGAGGATAGCTTGTTCTTCCGTTCGGCTGTATCAACTCGGTTGTTAATACTGATCAAAAATATATATACTTTATGGTGTCAGAGATATTTCACTTTATGCTTAATTTCGCGAGCGTAATAGCATTCGTTTGCACATCTTGTAAAATATCAGAAAAAAAACAAAACAAATCGATAATTTTATATAGTCAATCAACTATCACGATGCACATTTGAAAAGTCGCCAGGAAAAAATCAATTCAATTTGATTTCGTACATCCATTTTACCTGCTTTTTAGCTGCTAAATGGCCGAAAAATAATTCATGTACCAGATAATAACTGGAAATTAATTCAATTCACACAAATTAATATTTCGTTAGCGGTATTCCCCATGCACAATACTCCATTGCTGGCCAAACGGAAGAATGAAAAAAGCGCAAATTCAATATTATTAAATTGTATACGATATTTGCAAAAAACCAAAGGCATTTCAATAAATATAATTGAATTCAATTGCGTTTTCCACTGACTGTAATTGCAGTTCGCTGTTTTTGTGCCACGGCATCAAACGGCAATACGAAAAAAAGATATATACCAATAAATATTTATAAAGCTCTTTGGCGGAGATCAGCGCAGCGGGGCACTTGTATAAACATATTCAAAAATCCATTAGCATCGAATCCCGATGTCGACAACACTATAAATTTGTTAGACTAGTCTCGGTGCAAAAAAATCTCACACACAAAACCAAACTGAACAGTTGCGGTTAGATTTTTGATACCAACAAAAAGAAATAAACTGGCGAATAGCATAAATCTTTTTATACCCTCGTAGAGGGTATTATAATTTAGTCGTGGAATATGTAACACATAGAAGGAGACTTCTTGAACAGCATCAACAGCAGAGTTAATATAGACAGGTACATCTGTCTGTTTCTCAGTTTTAAAGCTAGCGTCAATTAACCTTGCATAGGTCCATCTATCTGTTCCAGGCAGCACGGATCGATCAACTGTATCATAAGGCTGCTATAGGAAAGATCGGTCAAATATTAAGCTATTGCAAGAAAATTATATTCTTTACCAAGACATCTGCACCAAACTAAGCAATTCTTAGTCTCACCATGCTCCTTATATATACTGCAATACTAAATCATACTCTATGGGAAGAAGATGAGGTTTTGTTAACCATCTTTTGTTTCACAAGATATCTTGAGCTTTACTAATCTGCTCACATATCGGCAAGCCGTTGAGCCATATGTCTGCAAGGGTATTTAATCTTCAGCGTGCCGAAGATAGCAATTCTTTCTTGTTTCTATTGAAAATTGAAAATTGCTTTGGGCGGCGGCGGTTGGATGTGTGATAAATAACGAATTGCAATCATAAATCTGGCGCTGAGTATGAAGTAAGCAAAGCGTTTTAATTTCAATGCAATTAAAAAAGGACCCAGATTCTCACAAGTGGCCGCTGCAAGTTGCCAGGCCGTGGCAGCATTTAATCAAATGCAGCTGGCGAAGGAGAAGGCAAGTACACATCCTGCGAACGCAGGATCCAGCAATTTGCGTTCGTTTTTCGAAATGAAATTACGAGCATGCAACGAGCCTGCGCCGCATGCCGCATGCTGCATGCTGAATGCTGAATGCTGCTTGCTCCTCACCTGCGGCTGCTGCTGCTGCTGCTGCTGCTGCTGCTGCCCACGCTTGACCCAAGCCTCGCCCTAATGACATTTGAATGACAGCCCCGAACAGCAGCAGGACGACAGTATTGAACCAGCAGTTGGCCAGCCCAGCCACAGCTGCAGCCGCAGCACAGTTGGCTAATGACCGCCAGTGGGTGAAGTGGCTGCGGCTGCGACTGCGGCTGCGACTGCGACTGCAATGGCTCAGTTCCAAAGCTGTCCAGGCTGTCATGACTTCCAGCTTCCAGCTGCGATAACAATTGCCTCAGTCATATTGTTGCCATTGTCGCGTTTCAGTTTCATTTGCGCGGATCTGGTATAAAAAAAAATATATATGTATATGCCTGGATCTATGCCAAGAGCCGCAAGACGTGCTCTGGTTAGCAGCGCCCTTTTGTTAGTGCCACAGCCTTTTACCAGCTTGTTGTCAGGTGTAAAATGCAAAGTAATGACTTTGAATATGTCTGTTAAGAGCCTGGCAGGCGCGACACCAATGGCAGCCCCCTAACTGGCTTTGAGCATTAACGGCCCTGACAGAAATTGTAGCCATCCAGCTTTGGCATGTGGCGTGAAATGCTCCAAGCAAAGCAGAAAAGGAAGAAGCAGAATTCAAGCCAGAAAATATAAATGCAAGATTCTGGATATCAGGCTTTATATATATCTAGGTATCTGTTTTCAGAAAGCAGAGAAAGAAAGAGGCTAGATAATTTTTATAAACTCCAGAACTCTTTGAACATTATTGGAAAGCGTATTTTAGCTGCGACTTGGCATCGATTTAATTTTCCCTGTCGTTATGCTAACATTTCTCAACCAGCCTGCTATGCCAGGCGTGCCTTTGGTCCTGCACCTGGCTTTTGTCTGGCACTCAAGTGAAAAGCTTTTGTCAGCGCATGGAAATTTGACGGAAATTGTTTGGTCTGATGGATGCAGATGCTGTTGCAAAAGGCCCATCCACAATACGCTCTAGTTACCTTTGCCTAATGGTCTCGACCAACCAGTTTGCTAAGTAAGCGGACAGTTTTGGACGCATTATGGCTCGGCCCCAAAACTGGCTGCACATTTGGCCAGCCGAGTGAAACGGCAATTTCAATAGAATTAAAGGCACAATTTGTTGCCAGCCAAGTGGAGAGCGGGGGCTGGCAAAGATTACGCCAAGCGAAATAAATGCAAATCGCGTTAAAAGTAAATTTTATTTTGCCCTCTATCTATCCGACTGCCTCTTGTTTTGCCGGCGTGACTGCAGGATAATGTCCTTAAAAATAGCTGCGCTCCTCTTGCGGCTGCTGTTGCTGTTGAGGCAGCCAACTCTGGAGACAGGTAGCAACACGGAGGGAGGGCTGGGGACGTTGCAGATTTACTGCGGCACGCGCTGCTGCCACAATTACTTCGCTAGAAAACACAATCAAAATCAAGTTGAACGTTGAACTTTTTAATGCATAATTTATGGGTCTGAGTAGCCTGGCATTGGCCCGAAAGCAAAGCCGCTGGCGGGTTAAGGTGACGCACCTTTCCTTTGTTGTTGCGTCTCAAATACAAATACACATTTATATATATATATACATATCTGTGTTATAACAAGGGACAGCTGCGGAATGGAGCGCCTCCATATCATAAATATTTATGAAAGCTGCCAAAAGTGCACGACGTGAGGTCTCCTGCAGACCCTCGGCTTGGCACGTGCGCCGTGTGGCATGCCACGATTTATATGCCGCCATTGAGACCAATATATTTGCTTTCATCAAAAACTCATCTTAAATGCCGACACATGCGGCACATAAATGCTAGCCCAGCCCACATAAGAGATATCTATATACCCACATGTATTCAATTGTATCTCTTTTGGCTGCCGGCTATGTGGTAAACCACTTTTGAAAAACAGTTAACCGGGAATCAAGCAAAAACCGTTAAATCATAATAAAATAATTGTTGATTCAAATATACTTTATGCGCACCTATAAAACAGGCAGTTAACATTTGAGCTGTGCTTCTTTTTTAATGGAGCTCAAAAATATAATCTCTTTGCGTCTACGAGATAAGAATTTTTCATTCGATATTCTTCATGCCAACTTTAGATGGAAAATATCTAGATAATTGCCCAAATTAACTATATAACATTATTTTCTCCTCATTTCGAACTGAAAATAGATAATCGAATCATTATACTTAAATAAATCTAATGGTCTTTAAGCTTGATTTAGTTTCTAATAGTTTTCCAAATGGCCTTAACCCACTTTGACACACACTAGCTCACACACACACACACACAAGCACACACATGTGTGTGTGTAAGCCGCCAACAACTGGCCACACATCCTGACGCAAAACTTTCTCTTGCTGCTACACTCATCTTTTTTTTCTGAAAAAGAAATATCCTGCTAGCCAAGCCAAAACTATCAATTAAACTAATTAGCTTGATTTCCCCAGGCTGAACACGAACTGGAGCAGAAATTCAATCAGAGCATGCAGAAAAACGCAATCAAATGATTAAGTCAACAAATGAAGTCAAATTGTTGGGGCTGCAGCGGTCAAAAAAGCTGGCAAATTGCAAAAAGGATAAAATAATATATATATATATATATATATAAAATCATTGAGGAATAAAATAAAGCAGGCGAAAGCAGATGCAACTAACGAGTGTGTTCGAGCGGAGGTCTTCCTTAAAGTTGCAGCAACTTTTTGCTATGTCGAGACAGACAGAGAGACAGTGAGTGGGGGAGGAAGAGGTAGCTACCGGTAGATGACTAACAATTTCAAACAGGTGCAAAAAGGTAGCTCAATTTGTTGGCGTCCTAATGAGCGGTCGCGTCATTGATTAGTAGCTTGTCCTGCCTTTAAGACTGAAGCACACTTTCTTTTCATTCTTATGGCATGTTTTTTTTCTTCTCTGCAGTCAAGACTCAAATTCCAATTGAATTGTCTGAATATTGGGCGTTCTATTATGTATTAGGCGGTGGGCGTGGCACGTGCCATATGCACAGCATTGAGTGCTCGTAGATATTGATTTCGTTCTTTCTGGCTGCAGGAAATTTATTTATATTCAATTTGTGAGTTTATGCAATATTTTTCTTCTCCTTTTTTTCAGGCACCAAGACGAAACGGGAAATTCACTTTTCCGTCATATGAGTGTGTGTTTGTGTGTGTGTGTGTGTCGCTTTGTGTTTGCCAACTGTGGCTGAGACTTCACGAGAAGCGCCGCTGCTGCTGCTGCTACTCCTGCTCCTGCTGCCTGTATGCGACGATAAAGCAATTTTTTTTTTTGAGTTAATATTTTCCACAAACTCATAAACACATCAGGCCAGACGCTCGAGATTTCTGGCTGACAGGCTGACAGGCAGGCTGATTACCTAATCTGAAGGACTAGCGCCCAACTGTACCTAGCTGCATATGCTGGCTGACCTGTTGGTCCACCCTAAATTACCTAGGTGCTAGGCGCTAGGCGCTAGGTAACAGAGAGTAGGGGCAACTATAAATAGGCAAGCGCCGGCTGCATCCTTCACTCAGTCGTTGTTTGGTCCTCTGTCTGCCAACGTCTAGCGAAAAAGTAAAAGTTTTGCACACGTACTGTGATAGTCAGTGCCCAGTGTATAATCGGTCAGGATGTTATTTCTGGTGCCGCGCAAGCATCTATTTGCCAGCAATTTGATAATATTTCTTTTGATTTATATCATGCGCAAGTGCCTGCAGTTGTTCTGCATCATTGAGAACAAGGCATGCCAGAAGCCCGACTGCAACTGTGAGCCGGGCCAGGGGGATTGCCCGGACTCGCCGCTTGAGGAGCGCCGCGGAGGCTTCAAGCTCATACCGGATGCCATGCGCAAGACCATGCACGGCTTTGGCTATGGCGAAGGCCACTATCAGATCTTCGTGGAGAAGAAGGAGCGCAATTTGCCAACCAAATCGCGCCTCAATGCGGCCAGCGCTGAACTCAAGCTGAATCCCAATTAGGCAGCAGCATTCAGCGACCAGCAGCAGCAGCTCAAGGAGCCAACAAAATGTGCCAACAACAACAACTACAACAACCTCAAAAACAACAATAATAATAATAATAGTATTAACAACAATTTTCCAATGTCTTCTTGCAAAAATGTTATAAATTAATTGTAAACATTCAGCAGCATTTCGTATTTTATCGAAGCGCATACTTGGCCATTAATAAAAATTATAAAAGTTAAATCTCTGCCTCAGGAATTTTTGATTAATGTCATTTTTTTTTCTATATGCCACACACGAAAATGATCTGCAACATTTACAGCCTCACAATTGCCAAGTCGCCGCCGGCTGCTACTTGAAAAATTATCTACGCTTGCGACAACTGTCAGCTGATCGCGTGGGTGTTGCTGCTGCCATTAAACGGCAACAAATTTATCACAAAGTGCCCAAAGAGACACACACGCACACAAACACACACAGTTAAACGGGCAACAACAATGTCTGGCAATATGTTGGCGTAATTTTTTAAAACTCTAGACAGACAGAATGGAAGGCATTTCGATTTTCGAAAGCTGTTTGTGGCACATGAGCCAAGGGTTAACATTAACAAATGAACAGATATTGAATTTATCTTAAATATTCGATTCAAAATCTATATCATTTGAAGAGTTTTATATGATTCCAGTCATAAGGCAATTTAACCAGCAGCTATTAACGTATTCTTATTATATCCGAACCTATCCAATATTAAAACATATAGTGTAGAATATTAAAAGTATGTTTAAGTTTACTATTCTAATCTCACATAAAAACTTTTAACTTATTATTTTTCCAAGTAATTCAATAATAAAACATCTATTCTACAAGATGAATGGTATGTCATCCCAACTATTAATTAACTCTTGTTATAATTCGAACTAATCCAAAAATAAAACATAAATCCAAGCATATGAATAGTATATTTAAATTAGCTATTCCCTGCCCTCATATCAATCCGATATTAATAAATATATAGTAGAATGTGTGAATGTGTGAACTATGAACTAATTCTTATTACAATCCCAAACTAATCCAATAATAAAACGTATATCGTAGAATATGAATAGTATATCAACTCATATCAACTATTCACCTATTCTTATTGTAATCTGATCTAATATACTATATATTCAAGTTAACTATTCCATGCGCTCATATTAACTAAAATCGAATCATTTAAGCTTTTCATACCAGTTCATATATTGAGTAGCACCTAATTTGATTTATTATAATCATAATTGCCACATATTTAGACTGGGGTATACAAATTGATTGCTCTGGGCACCATCAATAGATGAAAGGCCCTCAACTAAAGAGCATCATCCTGTCATCTTGGAGAGTGGTTGCCATTTTGCCAGTTTCTATTGTTCCATTGGCACAGGCAGGAGATGGCAGCGCACATGAAGCTGAGTGCGCTCAGCGCTGAGTCTGGCAATTGTTAGCAAATCTATCATCATCATCGTCTTAAGCACGTGGCAGAGTGTTGTGTCTGTTGTGCGTGTGTGTGTGTGTGTGTGTGTGTTTGTGTGCGTGTGTGCACTTAAAGACATTGTGCAAATTCTGCAGCATTTTGCCTTGCATTATAAATGAACAGAAATGTTTAGTTGTGAGCAACATTTTGCTTGAGCTGCATATAAATTGTGCACACACACACACACGCATACACACACACACACACACATATGTAGACAATGTTGTTGCCTGCGCTTGTGTCTGTTGGCAAGCTGTCATTATAATCATGATTATTATTGTTGTAATTCTAATTATGCATTGTTGTGCGGGACTGAGGGGCCACATTACACATACGCCATGTCTGACACGCTGCGTGGCAGCATCTGTGTGTGCGAGGGTGAACGTGTGTGTGTGTATGTGTGTTTGTACGTGCGCGTGCTTCATTTTTATCAATGACAGTTGTTCGTTGTGTGCCGTTGCTCATGTGTAAAATGAAAATGTCAGTCGGATTAGCGCCAGCAGCGACAGCGATAAAAGCGAGCGGAAGCAGCGCCAACGACATCCTCTCGCCATGATGAGCACCAACCAACCTGGCCTGGCAGCGATTCCTACAGATATAAATATAGCTACAGATATGATGGCAAATATAGCGTAACCTTCTTCATAATAGAACTCAACTCCTTCGTCCAAGGATTAAGCTGAATGCATTCGCATCAGCATAAAATGCTAAGCTCTCATGTAAATCATGTCGACATTGTTGGACTTAAGCAGCCCTGTTTGTTGGACTCTATGCTTGGACTCATTATAATTAACAATTTATAAAGCGTTAATACCCACACACAGACACACACACACACACACACACACATACACCCACAGCTTGACTGGCACGCCCGCCACGGCAATTTGCCAAGGCAGCCAAAAGAGCATGCTCAGCAGCACATCCGCACAAGCAAACAAACAAACAGATAGTCAGAGAGGGCTGGGAGTGGGCATGGAACTGGGGTGCTCAGAGCATTCATTTTGCTTGTAAACTGGTTTTCCGACTCATCCCGGGCATGGACCCGCGCCCGCGCCCGAGTCCGCGTCGGCTCCCTAACAACAGTGCACGGCACGTCGCGCGCATTAAGTAGATGAGCTGCATTTTTCATGCATGCGAAGTTGAGATTGCAGCTGCCGCACACGCCTCATTCCGCTCGTCAGAGCCAGCAACAACACCAGCACACCAATACACACACCCGTTTCCTTTTAGCTTCAGCTTGACTTGCCACTGCATCACCCCACCCTCTCCCTCTCTCTCTCTCTCTCCTGCCGCACGGCTTTGGCTTTCAGCTTTCAACTGGCAACTTGCAGCTTCAAAAGTTCTGCTTCAGCTGCTTCTTCTTCTTATTTTGTTTCTTCTTCTTCTTCTGCAGCAGCATTATCCTACTCATCAGCATCATTTGTATTAATTGCCGGGCATTTTGTTGTGCAATGATACTGAAAATGAGCATTGTTGTTTTTACCACAGTTTTCCGTAATTTTCATTTGTCGTTCCCCTTAACGCGCAAAAACTGTTGGCGTTACATTTACTTATATGCAACTGTTTGGGTGGAAATGCTTTAACTGTTTTCAATTTATTTTCTAAGAGGACAGCAAGCTTGGCAAATGGATTGCGTGCAGTAAAGAGTTTTAGAATCAATTGTAAATAAATATGAATTGAGTTAGATTGTAATCCCCAATAAAATAAATATGCTATGTAGAAAATAAGTAAAACATTTAATTCCGATTTTCTATAATACTAGTGGGTATTAACTGGCCTTTTTCCACCGAGGAATGCGGATTATATGAAAAGTGTGAAACACGTCTTAAATTAAATCTCATAAAAACATTGAAAATAAATTTTATCCCGGATCTTAACGCACCAAATATATGAACCCAAATTGTGAGACATCCCTCATATAAATTCGAACAAAGATCTTGAAAATTAGTTTAAGACTGATCAGATGATAAACAAAAAAGTTTCTTACAAGCGTTTTTCACGATTTTTCCACACTAGCAGTGGTGGAATTTCCTAAAACACCGTCTAAGTACGCACCTCCAACTTATAAGATAACTACAGAGAATATTTTAGCTTCCTCAGTAAGTCAGTCAGTATGTCAATCAGTCGGTCAGATAGTCAGTCAATCAGACAGGAGAAACAGTTTTATGTATAGAAATATAGTAGTCGTATTATAGGCAAATGTATAACCTGATTAAAGACCTTTGCCAAAACAACACTCGAATCTTAAGATCCACGTAAATATAAAAGCTTTTACTACATGTTCATAGCTATTGAGCTTACATTGAAAATGGAAAGCACAGAATTCATTTCAAACAGACTATTTTCATCTTCATGCTTGATTATTGAGAAGAGGCAACATTGCAATCCAACCATAATTTTAGGTTGATTGGACGAATTCGCCCGGTAGTTGCCATGTTCCCAAGGACAAATAACGTGCATGCAACATGCAATTGGCCAACAAACGGGCAATATTTATTGTTCATGGGCAAATCTGGAATATCTGGCAACTCTGACAAGTCTGATGGCGGCGCCGGCCGCGGTTCCTGCCAAACTGCAATTGCTGTCATTTTATGGCTGGCTCAATTAGTCGATAGGTCGATTGCAATGTGAAATGCGCGCGCGTTCAATTGAATTTTATTGAGTCTTTAATTGGCGCCATGCATGCGGCCTGCGGCAAGAGGCAGGCAGTGGGCGGCTAGCGGCAGGAGGCATGCATTTGCCATGCAACGGTAAATGGGCAAATCGTAACAATGGCAGCAAAATTCAACCAATTGCCATTAAACCATTTCCCAGTCATTGGGCATGGCATAATTAGCAGCGCAATTGCCATAAACAAAACAGCGCGCAGAAAATGTAAAATGCAAAATGCGAATTGCTTACAAATTGGGCTAAAATGCAGCAAAAAATATCTAACAACCATGAGAATGATACACGAAATGATAGCAATTTGCCTATGCCTCGGCGCCCGCCCCTGTCTACTCCTACTGCTTGAGGCGCTGTAAGCAATATCTGCATGTGGCATTTGTTGCTTACTGAATGAGAGAGTTAACAGGCAGAAATAATATACATGGGCGCTTTTAAGTACAGTTTATAGTATATGAATAGTATATATGGTATGTGTGCATGTGTAGTATATACATGGATATGTAGGCTAAGTATAAAATAAAATATATAAATATGTGTAATATATATAGTATATACAATATAAGCATATATACATATAAAAGCTTTTAAATATAAGTATATGAAATTTGTACACTCACCATATAATCCCCTGAACAGCTTTACCAGTCCAACTGACAACTCATGTCCTCCTCAATTTACACTGCTGGCTCTTCTGCTTGATCTGCATTTGTCTGCAAACTTGTCAACACACACACACACATGATATTACAGCATCTGCACAGTATTATCTCACAGCATCGACTAAGCCAAGCTTTTACATGGCATCCGTATTTATACTGCATGCTCTTATTCCTGAGAGCTATCATTTGTGATCTGCTCTCACATATTTTTATGCTAACACACTTGCACAAACACAATATTACAGCATCCGCACCGGCC